TAAAAGTAATGCCTATTGACTTTACTTCTAGGAAACACAAAAACAATCACAATATTTCCTCAATCAAGTCAACATCCCTTATGTTGCAGATGTTCATGGTTAACTGTGACTTCTCTCAGTAAAGCCATCTATTCTTTGCCCCTTTCACAGAAAAATAACCAAACGACATCTAGTCTAAAAACCTGAATAAATAGGAACTTGAATAGTAAATCTTTACGCTTGATACAAGTTAGCATTCTAAAGAAACCTACATCGATGTTCTAAACTATATTGTGTGAAGTTTTATGAATGAATAACTGGAAATGCTACGTATGTAGTATGACGACAATACTATCAGTTTTATGTATTTATAAATACATAACATAGAAGAAGTATGCTTAATTTGAACAAACTAACTTACTATCGGTATTGATAATCGAAAATACGCATGATTCGAAATAGAGAAAAAAAGGTTAAATAAAGAAAAGGGTTTATTAATTTAACTACAAAAAAAACTTATATTTTCGAATGTACTACTATCTAATATGAATGTACTACGAGAAGAACTCGTCTGTCCGTGATCACTGTTTCTGCAAAGTAACCGAAACATCGGGAGTATATAGATAAAACAATAAAAATCGCATAGTAGATCCCAAAATATTACTTTTATTTTAATGACTACTTTTCAAAATTTTAGATTTTAATATTAAGGCTAATTAAAGTACCCCTAGAATAAAACATCGAACTCCAGAAGAAACATATATCAGTGTAAGATTATTTGTATATTGACCATCCAGGTATCCAGTTGTCCAAGTGTCCAGGTGTCCAGGTGTCCAGGTGACGTCACAATCATTGTCCAAATCTATCGAAAAACTAAAAACGTCGACATCACCACGCACCCTAACGAGCGGACTCCCTTAAATTGAGTGGGCTGTCTCAAATAACTCCTCTACTAGATGAGACACAAATATAAACATTTACTCGTTATATAAAAAAATTGTTCATGTAATTCATGACATCAATGTTAATTATGCATCCATTATAATCCAGAAGGTTCGAATGATTATGTATTATTTATGTTCGGCCCATAAATCATAATTATAAAATTTATATGACTTCTTCATTCATGTTACAAAAGAAGTTAATTTTACACATAATTGCTTAGAATTAGCATTAAAATCATCTTTAATTTAACATCCTCTATTAATAAATATATCTATATACAAATATAAAAGAAAGTCGTGTTAGTTACACTATTTACAACTCAAGAACAGCTGTACGGATATGGTTGAAAATTGGCGGAGAGATAGCTTAGAACCAGGAGACGGACATGGGATATTTAATTATGTTCAGTAAGAAAACAATAATAATAAACTCCAATTTTCCAATTCTGGTTTTTTACGGCCTCTCAGACGGAATAAAGTTCGCCCGGTCAGCTATACATATATTACTAATGCCGAAATTAACGGACGAAGTCGTGAGCAATAACTAGTCACATTTAATCGGAAAATGTATTCTATATCTCCAACATTTTCTTCCAATAAGTTAATTATTGTAATGATAAATATATTTATAGCAGACTGGCAGACCCTGGCTAATGCTGGGAAATTGCCGGGAAGTATAAAAAGATATATACATTAAACAATGTGTATATCAGATCGTTTCCATTTATCGTACATCTGCGTCACAGTATCCGCTGCTTGTATAACACATAGAGTGGAATCAATCCTTGTCACAAGCCTTCCGCAGGCTGGCTCTAAGTGGCCTAATTCCTACTAGCTGAGATTTCTGATTTCCATTACTAATATCGAAATCCAAATCAATTTATTATAGGCAATATATATATAAGAAAGTCGTGTTAGTTACACTATTTATAACTCAAGAACAGCTGTAAGGATATGATTGAAAATTGGTGGAGAAATAGCTTAGAATCACGAAACAGACAGGACATTTAATTCCGTTCAATCAAAAAAGAAAAAGTACTAAAATAATTCCAATATCTTGTTATTTACGGCCTCTAAGACGGAATATATTACTAATTAGCTATACATATATTACTAATTCCGAAATTAAAGCGAACGAATTAGCGGGCAGAAACTAGTATTGTAATAATTTTAATAAATAATGTATGATTATTGAAATCTATTTACAATATATTAATGGACTTATCCATTAGACTAATTGTGGTATAACGTGCCAAAAATATTTCCATCCATAATTTCATTGCAGTATTATATGTAATATATAAAATTTGCCACAAATATTAAAAGCAATATACAACATATATCGTATGACTATAAGAATAGAAATATACTTCAGTGCATGACTACTAGTATTATTTTAATTTGTTTTATATCACGTCTTAACTAATTTATACCTATATACAAAGTACATTCAAAGCGCAGTAAGTTTTGAGTTTATTTTCCTTTAACATTTTAATATTAATGGAACATTTGTAAGGCAATCACAAAAACTTCGTATGCGCTCTCCTGTACAGAAATTTAAAACCTTCCGAGTACGTTTATTTAAATTCTTGATAACTTATTACATTACAGTACCTTACTATTAAAGTTGGATAAGAATTTTTGTGATATTTTCAAATGATACATTTTTAATACTCATTCGCACTGGAATTGTGAAAGATTTTGCTATTGTCAACCTTTTTATCTATTATACGAATTATAATCTTGAGTACTGTGTCGAGGAAACACGAAGGAGTTTGTATATTTTTATTTATTGTATGTGGAAAATAAGATTTATTCTTAATACCAGAATCAGTGAAAACAAACACCAATTCTTCATCAAAATAAATATAAAATTTAACTCAGTATTTCTACTTAATATCTTATTAAAATAATTTTCTTCCGTGTGAAACAACAAATAAACAAATGTTTTTACTCAAATGCTTTCGCAATTAAAATTTTCTTAGCATCACGACCAAGCGGAGATGTCAAAGCTCTTCCAGATTAAATCGTGTTACGTTAAAAACACTAATTAAATACAAAAATTATAGCAGTTTTAAACGATAATTTATATTAATACACATAAAAGTAATACAAATGTTAGATATACAGAGATAAAAACTCACTCGTATCAAAAGTCGTAACATTCAAGATGTGATTCGCGGTTTTTATTATAATAAATCATTCTATGTCTAAACACGTCATTTACGAGAAGTATGACACAAAAGAGTTCTCGCGATTCTATACAACATCCATTCATAAAGTTGACAACTATAGCTATACTTTTGAGAATTCACACGCCGTTAAAATATACCAGACATTTGACATACCCTAATAAAACTCAATGGTTTGGACTTAATCGCACTCAGCTAATGGTTCGGCCCTTCTTGTTGTTCAATCATCAATCTATTCGGTAATTATCTTAATAAAATATGTTATGTATATCAAATATACAAGATATATATCCCGGAATTGATTAAAATTATTGATTCCTTAAAAGAGGACGTATGTATTTGAAGAGTTGTGTTAAAATTTGCATTGATAATTCTATGACACGTTTTATACAGAGGACGTATTGCTCATAATTAAATAGACATACACATTAAGTTTAAGATATATACAGAAAAGTTATATATATATATATATGTATATGATAAAAAAAACTGCAGCTTTCACGATAGTCGTACATCAAATAACAATTATTAGCTCCGCGTTTTTTTTCTTTAAATCAAATCTATCAGCTTTCTTTAAAACATATTTTTTTTTTCTAAAATGTATTTAAACTAGCTCTACTGTTTACTCGAAGCATAATTTAAAATAATAATAAAAAAATATTTTCTACACTAACGTCAAAAATTCAAAATAATGTAACATTGATAAATTTAATATAACATATATATATTTTTTAATTTAAATATTAATCGGGAGTAAGATTCTTTAAATGCATACACATTTCCAAGATACCATACGAGTTAAAATATGTGCCATACATGACTTATTTCTTAAATGTTTTTACCCACTGGATGTAATCAATTTTATAAATACTCGTAAACATACATAATAAACTGTTTATTCAATAATTAATTATCTTACAATAAAAGTAATAAATTATTTCTTAATAATAATAATATTTTCTTAATTTTAGTATCTTATTTCTTAGTAGTATAAGTGGTTCTATATAAACTTTTGCATTGTTGTGAGTTAAATGAATTTGAAATGCACTATTTCAATTATGATAAAGATTTACTGAGCTTATATATAAACCCGAATTAGGTAAAAAAGGTTGAGTCTCTCTGGAGTTGTTTAAATAAATACTTATACTTCCACATTATTCTACCAAAAAATCTTTAAATATATATACATATATTTTTTTATACGGGGATAAAATAAAAAATGTGACAATGGTATTAAGTGTAGTAGCGAGAACTGCTAGTTAAAATTCAAAGTGTCTATGATGCTACTTATATCATGATTACGACTCGACCGTCTCAGCTTCATGAATAAAATTTTAATAAAAGATTACATTTATGATATTTAATTTCTAGCCGACTAGACGTTTTATTGAAACGGCTAAAAAACACTCGAAAATAATTAACCTAACAAAAGTATAAGAAACAAAAGAACTTTGGATCGTTGAACAATAGAGCAAAAAAATTATAACAAAACATTCTAACAGAGAAGTTTAATGAGTTTTTAATAGGTATTTTGGAAACAAAAAAATATATCTTGATTCATCTGACCGGCCCTCGATGGATATCCAGAGATCGACCATCAAATAAGACGTTGCATAACCGTTTAACGAATTAGAACTAACAAAAAAATAATTGATATTTACAAAAACTAACTTATAATGTATTTATATCAAAAACAACATAACATTTTAGTTCATATTTACATTTGAAATGTGCAAACAAACAACGTATTTGTTGTTCAAGTCCTACAAGACATTTCTTCAACCCCATTTTTAGAGTTATAAGATGAGAAGTATAATCTAAATGTTATCATTCCACTTACATAATATCGTATGAACACCAATACTTACTGCATTGATTATATCACCTCTGAGATGCAGCGTGTATCACGGGTTCCGTTACTGTTCGGTTGTATGTAGTTAGCGCTGTAAATCGCGTGGGTCGATGTAGGAGTAGGAGGCTGCGGGCTGTGTGTGCGGATTGTTATATAAGTCGCGGGGTGGACGAGGACACGTGTTACCTCTCCGGGGGCTGAGGCGCGACTGACGGGCTCGGGCGCCGCCCCGCGCCATTCAGCCAGCTCTGCCTGCCAGACGTGCCTCGCCGGGGCTAATAAACCTTTGCGATATCAATCAAGGATTACACTTCAACAATGTATCACTATTTGTTAATCACACATTCATATGTAACGCTAAGGATTATATATTTGTGAAATTTTCTCCGAATGTAAACAAATATGTAATATTTACATTTGCGTGACTCTGATAACTTTCGTTTTTAACTCCTCGTACAATTTGCAATTATAAAATTTAACATCCATATTTTTACAATATTAAGACATATAATATGTAAAATTTTGAAAACATAATAATACACACGTTTAAGAAAAACTGTCCCTAATTTTGTACAATCCAGCAAGTCCACTTATATCAGAACAATATTAATACAATCATAAGCTTTTTACATGTTTTTTCCTATTAACTTTCTTATAGATAACTTGGCAATAATCAAAACAAGGAATACCTTTCTCTTCTAAATTCTATAATTATAAAAAAAACAGGCACTAATATTTGTATTTTAAATGCATTATTTGTCGCGTTAACTCTATTTTGCTCATTAACTATATACAATTTAAATTACATTATTTCATATTATTTCCGTATTCCATAACATTCGGTAAATATAAAATGAAATTATTTTTTATTCACAATACGAAAATAGGAAAATCTTTTAAAAGAAAAAAAATAAGTAAGAATTGGAAAATACGAAAACGATTTTGTAAATTAAATGAATATACATAAAATTAATTTTAAATTATAAATTAATGTTTATTAACATTAAAAATATAATTTTTAAAGGTAAAATCCCGGGATAATGAGTGTAAACTTATCCCCTGAGTGATATTTGTTAAATTTTCTACTTACGTTTCACGGACGTTTAAGGGTCTTGTGACCGTCCTTCAATGTTTCCTATTACTCTCCCATGATGCTCCTTTAATATAGAAACATTTATTAACAGAAAAAGAAAATTACCTTATTTAAAACGATACGTAGGAAGGTATATAATTATTTATATATTTTATCACTATGTATATAACATAAAAAGAATTAAATCTGAAAATTTATTACATTTTCTTATTATAATCCGTTATTTTAATTTAAATATTAAGCTTTTATATCAAGAGATACTTAATTTAATAAAGTAACTCAATAGCCCTTAATAAAAATATATAAGAAAGAAAAATATTTAAAAAAAAATCCTAGATCGGTTGAAGGTAACTGAACTTTAAAAATAAATCTTACTATAAATATATTCTTAATATCGGTGTTAACTTTTCTCAAACGAAGTGTACTAAAAAACTGCATTACATATGTTGTAGTTCTGAAATAAACTCAATAAAGACGTGTATGTATCCTTAATACAAGTTATCATAGTCAAACTTCATACCCAGCGTTTCCGACTTCACTTTGTATATCCCCGTTAATACTATCAAGTGCGAAAATGAATAAGTAACTCTCTACATAAAGTTTTCCATACTAACCTATGGTTGGGGACATACAGTGAAAACGTAACTCGATCCCACACAAGGTTGCCAATTCCAGTTAAAACACATTCCCTGGCATAAAGGTACCTTCGTTGGCAACCCTAAGCTAGAAAATTATCGTTTAAGGCAAAACAACGTTGATTTTCATAATGATATTAGCTTATATAAACAAAACAAAGCAATGAACGTTGTTACCAGATATGAAGTCCCTATCTAATCTAGACTCTACCTACGTTTTACAAAATCAATACTACTTTTAATGAGAGACTAGATGAATATAATATCTATAAATATTTGCAGTGTTCTGGGACTATAGATTCCAAAACTTTGAAGTATAAATAAATGAACCCATTTATATAATTGGTTGACCTCCAACACTGCCATCTATTGTTGAGTAGCGATAGTTATACACAACACATTCAGTGTTTTCGAATGGATTTTTTTTATTTTGCGTGCCCTCTATAATCTGTATATTAAAAGTATATAAAAAAATTGACTTGTTCAGTCGTTGCGTTTAATTTTTTCTCTATTGAAAAAATATATATTATTCAAGAGGAAGTCTGATTTTTGGTTTACAATAAAAAACATACTTCATCATTCGAAGAGGTAATTTTATCTTTAAGTCGTAATTTTCATACCACAATGTAACCTCATTTTCATTAGCCTGAACTAATAGTTATTATAAATCGTACATTCCGTTTTAAATGTTCAGTATTTAAGATCATGTAATTATAAAGATTTTAGGCTTAACACAATTAAAAAAAACGATTATAAAATCTCACTATGGTCTCAACATTTTATATTTCAAAGAGAATGGAATAAGTTTGTTTGAAAAAACTGTCAAATAAAATAACGGTCACACACAGATATTTTATTAGTATCGAAACCAACATAACAAATGTTTTATAGGGATACAATATATGTATTATAAGTTCTTTGATTCATTGAAGTAAGAACAAACATTCTTTTACAGAAATATACAAGCAGAATTCGCCTTATCTTCAGTTTCAACTATCTAATTGAATAAAGTACATCGATACATATATTTCAAAGTACATATTTTCATATTAGTCTCATAGAAAGGTGACGAAAAGAAATATAGAAAAGATTCAAGAAACATGGTAAATGGAATTATAAAAAAGGTTATATTTATAAAAATAAACAACTTACAGATTATAATTGACGAAAATTCACAAATATAATTGATAGTTATATAAATGGGAAATTGTTGATAAAAATTTTACAATAGTTTTATAACACATATATATAATGTTATTTAATTTTATTTATATAAATAAGATAATATTTATGTATAATTATAATAAAGATTTTTTTTGATAAACATCCATTACGTTATGAACGAAGATAAAAAAATTATCGTCATAGGTCATAGAATTTTGGCACACATGCTGTTAATATTTAGAATATGGAGATTTCATATATTTTATTAAACAAAAACCTCACTTAACATCTAAACAACCGATCACAACAACAAGATTAAGTCTTGACATCTTTAATTGATATGTCGAACTTGAATTGAATAGATCATAAAAATTAATGCTTTAAATTAGGCCTAAAATCCAAGAAGTAGTTGAGATGGAATAAATTACATATATTTTAATTTTGATTCAATTAATTGCGAAAACAGCAGAGGAGGCTGCAGAAGATGCTGGCTGCGATAGCGTTTTGAGGGGTTCCAATCCTATATCTCGTTTGAACCGGTATCACTAACTCCAGGACAGACGCGTCATCATCTTCATCAGAGGCCGTCAGTTCCACTTCGTAGAGAGGAGGCGAGGATCGATCAGGAGTGCTCGGGAGTGACGCATCATCACAATACGACCTCCAAGGCTTCAACGGTATCAATACCTCGCGCTCCAAGCGTCCCTCTTCCATGTTTCTCTGTAATACGCAAATTATTTTGGAAAGCAATCGCGATTATAACTTCTACACTGAATGTAGATGGCTATATTATGAAATAATGTTAGGCTGTTTCGTTTTATTTATAAATTAAGTACTTTTTGCAATTAACTTAGCACATAATGTTACAGAAGTATCGTTTTTCGGATATACTTTCTTATGTACTTTATACATAAATTTTCAGACTTATGCAATAAATTAAAAACATACACACATCTTTAGCTTCTTTTGATATAATATTACTTAGATAATATACATTTGATCATGATAAATAGTGATTTTTTTATTCTAAATATCAATAATTTCCTCACCAATTGCTCATCAAATCTCCTCTTTGTCGTTCGAATCCATGGTTCCTTTAACATAGGTTCTTCATCACTGCTACTGCTTTCAGTCAACTGAAATTAAAATTCATAACTACATATTATAATACCCTTTGGCTGTTTCTAATCCTTTAAAGATCAAGTGAAATTCACGGCTATTTATATTACGTTATCTTTTAAGTGTTTATATTAATTTACTTGTATTAAACCACGAAGATTAAGCTGCGCACGCGCACGTTCCGCGTCGTCACTATCAATCCCGCTGTCATCCTGGAAAAGTGGAATCAGCAGATCCCGGTTGCGCCCTTCCCCCGCCAGTTTGAAAGATTCCAATATTATCTGGAACAAAAGATAATAAAATAATTATCTATTAGGTATAATAAATTAGTTTTTAGATGAATTAAATGTTATCTAATATTATAGGTTGTTGTAAATAGTGTAACAAAAACGATGTACCCTCCTTGTGTAACTACTATCTGTTATAGGTACGGGGTAATTGATTGATATGGCTGACCTTGAAAAATCTATTTTTGGAACCAGCTCAATATTTTGCAATACATATATATATTGATGAAATAAATATGTAAACGAGATTTTGAACTAAAAAAATGAAACGCATATACTCCACAGGATTCAAAATAAAAAAGAAAACACGGAATCAGCTTAATGGGATAAGTATGTCCTTGACTCATACACCAAAATTAACATGCAAACATTCCTCCTTAAGAAAATGATTATAAAGACTTACCAGAAAAAGTTATTACTGAAGACTGTTGATTCACTTGTGGGTTTCAAAACCGGCTAAATTGTTAAACACGAGAGACATATAAAACCTCCTTCGTCCGCAAAATCACTGGCAAATAACAGGGTTGAAGGGGGGGAGCACCCCCCACGTTGCCATGACAACCCTAAGCTGCGCGCGCACTGCATTGCATTTTTACACGTTCGACATTTTCGTTAATCCTAATTGCGTCTCGAAAACTTTTAAAAGCTTTTTTTCTAGATGGCATTATCAGGAATATGAATTAAATATAAGATATCATGGCGCCAAAGAAGGTAAGATTAGTTCTTAATAATAATTGACAGAATCATAAAACACTATACAATTTATTATTTACAAAAACTCACTTTTACAAACAAAAAATCACCAATTTAATTTCTTTGTCACAACTGTAGGTACTGAACATTAGACACGATTTACATTTTTCTTTTTCCTTTTTTTCTTTACCATCACATCTAAGTATCGATCAAACAAGTTGCTCACACCAAACAACTTCTCATTTATTAGACTTAACAAAATAACTTTATAATATACTATTGATACCAAAAAAATTACAAATACATCATATGCTTACGCGATTTTTTACGTATACAATTATTTCCAAAAGCCACAAACAATCATAGAACATCTGTACCAAAAAAAATACTCAAAAAATAACGATTCTTGAATAACAAGTCGATATGAAATGTATGAAACATATTATAAAAAAATCAACAATGACATGAAATAGTAATCCAAAATCCAAATAAGAGTACTAACTTTAATGCCTAATCTAGATTCCTAGCCCGCAAGGGACCAATAAGCCAGTTAGATTCCCATTGCTCTGGCGCAGCAAATCAACTGAGAAATCCCTAGGGCTCCTGATAAAAAAGCTAAGAGTGAGTAATGGTGGCTGTAAATATGGCATACCGCGCGCTAAATTGTCTGAAAGTCATACAAAACATGCAAAATTTAAGTTAACATTCTCAACTTTCAAATTTTTTACAACATGAGATCAGTGTCCTATACTTTTTCTTTCATTCCTCAGTCCTTTGATCCCTTGTTAACGCATTTTGGACGTAAAATATCAATTAATATACTAAAATGTTGAGAAAGCGAACTTAAATTTCGATTGAGGTTTTTTTGTTTTAACTGTGATTCGTCTTCACCATTCCTGTGTCATAAAACCCATGTTTTTGGCAAATACACCTGTGTCCTATCTGTGTCTTACGTTTAATTTTAATCCACTAATGTTTAATACTTGTTTGCAGCTTATGCCATACTCATTTCTCAAGCTTGTGTATAAATTTAAGTCTTACGTTATAATTAGAATTAGAGTACACGCTTGCTTGTTTTTATTTTGTGTCTTGTTTTACGAGTCCTAAGTTTTTCTTTGAATAATTGTACGTATTTTCTAATACAGAATAATAGTCACAACTTAAATCATTTTGCATATGTTAGAATAAACTTTCTTTTGTTTAGTTTCTTGAATGACTTTAAGAAAAAGAAACCACGGAACCAAAAAAATGTAGAATCTGGAAAATGTCTATGAAATAAATCTTTAACAAAAATATAAATTCTGAAAAAGTAAAACAAATTAGATAAAAGGGTCAGATATCTCCTTAGGATGTATATATCCTATAGAGTAAATAGTTTTTTACTAAACATTAAATTTAAAAAACGTTACCACGACTTTGCTTTTATGTTTTTATGAAGTCTACTTTAAAGTTGAAATGTATAAATAAAACAAATTCAATTCTACAAACCATGTAAATACATACTATTTTAACTTATAACCAAGTTACTATATATATTACATATTAAGTGTCAAAAATTACTGGATATTTTTTTATTTTTTTCTGACAATATCCAGCAAGAAAACAATGTATATTCATAAATATTCTCCCATATTGAATTTATATTTATATAATAATAGGTCTGTACGTTTTAACTTCCAACACGCAACTAAATTCATAGGACCCAATGTTACAATCGTAAACATATTTTATTGCATTCAATCGAGGGTTACTTCATTACTTAGCAAGGAACTTAGAAGATACCTTAATATACCAATGTCGAAAAACGTTGAATAGTTTGACGTCACTTTTTATGCATTTTATATAGGCTACAAAGTTATATTTGATACCTCAACCTGCTGTCTATTTATATTAGGTTGGTGCATATGAAATGTCGGATTCTTAAGTGATTGTATAAAACTGCATATCTTTCTTCAAAAGCTGTTTATTCAATCAAAGTATGCTCCATTCGCTTCAATACACTTCTCCCAACAAGATTTTAAAGCGTAGATGCCTGTCTTAAAAAAATTTTGGTCTTTAGAATTAATAAACTCTGATATTGAGTTTTTTAGACTGTCTTCATTTTCATAGTGTTTGCCCCTTAAAAACAGCTCTAAATGCTTGAAAAAATGAAAATCGGTCGGCGACAGATCCGGTATATGGTGGATGCTGCAAAACTTTATATTCCAGTTCGCTAAGTTTTGCAATTGTTTTGTGCGATGTATGCGGCCGAGCTTTGTCATAGAGCAGTAGCGGGCCATACCGATTCACAAGCGATGGGCGTACAATTTTTAACTTACCGTTCATCTCATTAATGTACTGGCAGTACTTTTCGGCCGTAATTGTCTCCCCAGGTCGAAGGAACGAATAATGGATTACCCCCGCCGCGTTCTTGCGGTCTTCCGCGCGGCTCATTTTGCAGTGAAAAATCGCCAGTCCGAAATTTTTCGAACCAACGCTGCACTTTCCGATCGTTAACCGTATTCTCCCCAAACGCTTGGTTTATGTTGCATGCAGCTTTTGCAGCACTATTACCAAGTTTGTACTCATATAAGAAAATGACGCGAATGTCGGCAGAATTCATATCGGCAATAAACTCAAAAGAAATAACAAAAGGGAAGACCTTCGAGAAAACCTATTTTGCTGAAATGAGTCTCTGGCAAATGGACAATACGACTATGAATGGGGTTATGCCAAAGACAAAAGTATAAAGAAAACAGGGAGACAAACGTCTGCATGTAAAGATAATCCGACATTTCATACGCACCAACCTAATAATTCTTTGCTGTTCTATTGATAATTATACATTCAAGTTCACTTGGGTAGTGTTTTGTATAATTGTTTTACTACTGTTTATAAAACAAGTTTTTTAGTATGATTAACTCAATCTTATTATACTACTAATATTATAAATACGAAAGTTTAAGGATGTATGGGTTTATGTATGTATGTTTTTTGCTCTTTCGTGCAAAAACATAGACTAATTATAATATATTACCGGATTAATTGTAATTCAAGGTATATCAGCTGTATAGTTTCCAGTGACAAAGTCTATAATAGATTTTGCTGAAGGTTTATTAATATATCTATTGTTTTAACACATTTTACATGTTTTGTGCCCCATTCCGTAAATGACGTTAACGAAGATGCGGGCAAAAACTAGTATATGTATACAAAAGCTTTTTTTAAATAAAACGGAGCTAAGCTATTGTGAATATCTGATTAGTGATAAAAACCAAATACAAAGGTTGTACATACAAAGGCTTTTGATTCAAATGTTTTAGTTTCGTTAATATATTTGTGTATTTAATTACAACAAAACAAGGAAACATTATTTATTTAGCTGGCACTAAAATAAGACAAGACTCATTAAAAAAAATTATTAAAGTCTTTTTTTTAGTTAGTTTCTCTTGATTTTTAACCGTATGAAAATAGATTAAACCAAGCCTAATTAATTAAATGTAATTTACTATGAGCATAAAAAAGTTAAAAAAACATACCTATTACGAGTGTTTCTTTAACAGCTGGCATTCTTAACAAAACGATGTTAAATCCACAAATTCCACTTAAATAATGCATTGACCTTTTAAAATGGGACTATATTTTTGCCACGAACGACTAATGCTATTTAAAGCTTTCTTAAAAGGCAAATGCCATTATAAGTTGTTAATGCAGTGTTCCAGTAGCGAACAGTCTGTGCTAGCTAACACCAGACACGAAGACTAATTAGAAATTGGTGACACGCCCATATTACAGAAACATTTACAAAACTTAGTACCGTTAGCAATATAAGATGAATGTTTAAATTATCTGCTTACTTTAAGACGACAATTCAAGAATCAAGAACCCATAGGATCTTAAAACTACATACTTTTGTAAATTCCATTCAATGAGTCGAAATAATATCTTTTTATATTAAAATATAATAAAATCTTTTCATTATTGTGATATAATATTCAAGATTTATACCACTATCTTCTTTTATAAGGCGATAATTGGTAATGAAATATTTCAAACGCTGTCTTAATTAAAAGAAATAATCTTATTATTTTTTCGGTAACTGTTGTTGTACTAGCACTAATGCGATTCCAAATCAATGCAATGCAGTTTACACTTGCCCAGTAATTCGCTTCTGCTAAGACAATGCAGTGAAATCGCTTCTGCTAAGACAATGCAGTGAAATTTTTCTCGCACAAAAAACACTTTTATATTAAGCTTTAAATGTAAACATGCTTGAGGCAACCTCTTCTGACGATGAAAGCGAGGTAAGTACGTAACAGCATTATTGCGTGCTCATCCAATATATAGATGGTAACAAATTAAAAAATATAAAATACTGTTTAAGGACGCTCCAAGCACGCAAAGATTTTAATCATTCGTTTACGCTTCCTTCCCTCAACTTAAAATTATTGTAATATTTATAGCCTTGTTCCATGATTACGCCCAATAAAGTTCTAACATAAAATAATATGCAAATAGAATATTTAGCTATAAAACCAATATTCAATGGAGAGTCAAAATATCAAGTAGTCCCTGATTTGCCGCGGAGTAGTGCTTGCATATACTTTGTGATCGCTTTTATAACAAAATGCTACGAGCTATGGTCAAACGTGCTTTGAAGAGGGACGATGATACCGTGCTTATTACAAAGACCCTACTGCGTCTGAATGTAGGCATTTTAATTGTTTGTACACACAAATGAGATTGATATATATAATTATAGTGTTTGTGTTGTTTAGCAAAAGGAATCATCAAAATCTCGTTCCAATCTTGTTGATGATGAAGCTTTGGAATGGTTGAAACCTAGAACTCTGTTGAAACCAGACGAACAAGAGGATGTTCCAGAGGCTGTAAGTACTATATTGTTACCGTGACAACTTTTAATATCATAACGCTTAAATATATAATAACAACAACATTTTACAGGAACTAGACGAAGAAGTAGGACGTTTTTTAACAACAATAAACCCGCAATGGGTGGCAGATGAAGTTGCATACCATTATGGACAAGGAAAATTTGTAAAGAAACCGAAACCGTCTTTCGGCAAAGCATATCCTCTTTACATATACCAAGGGACGGCTATAAGGAAGGATTCAGAGGAAGCGAAAGCACAAATCGCTGCGGGATACGGTGACTACAATCAGTTTTTAATACTTATATATATAATAATAATAAAGATATATTTAAATTATAATTGCTATATAGTAGATATAAATATATGTATATTACATTAAATAGTTTATCCGTCATATTGGGACGACGGTACAATCTATTAGATTTTCTTATGAAAACAGAAACCCTAAAACATCGAGTCAACTTAGATCACGACAGCGTAATTGATAAATCACTTGAAAGCGATATTTTAGAGGTTACAGGTTCGAAGCTAACTCGAGTCGCCTAATTTTTCATTTTAAAGTTTCTTCACGTACATTAATATAGGTATATTTTCAGAATAATATACACTTTCTTTACTTTTAATAAATTGGCTATTGAATTAATTAGGCATGGTCGGATTTGACGACGCTGGGCCAAAGAAAGTTAAGGTTAAGAAATCAGCGGCTGAAGAAGAAGAGGAGGAGGAACCAGAACCCGAGGCTCCGCCACCCGAAGAAGCTAAACATGAAGGTAACGTCACAGGACTACATAAGAGAGACGAAACTTCTTAGCATTCCATAGATTCATGGTGCCGGCGCCAGGTCCATGCGTTGCAGGGAGAGGAGCTTCAACAGTGCCTGGAACTTGCGACCCAGGTGTAGGTTTAAGGGCCTATCTAACGCGTGTTAAACGCTCACCTCCACTGTCCAAGCTCCTCTCTCTACTTAACCAAAGAAACGAACCAACTAGGGCATGTCCTTGTTTGTATTTATTTATGAAAATATTAAATTTTTATATGATATACGACGTCCACAAGTTGTTAAAAAGTAGTGTGTGTAGTGTTATAAATAAATATAATTTCAATTCAAAAGAGGAAGTACTTGAGGAGGAGAAACCAGTAGAAACGGTAGAAGAACAAGAAGCACATCCAGTAGAAGAAGAGCATGAAGAGGCAGCAGAAGCAGAAGAAGTTATAGAAGAAGCAGCGCCAGAAGAACGTAAGAAGAAAATTATCACAATTACAATTAAGATTACTAGTAGATGATACAAGCTATAAAAGATTTTTCGATTTGGTAGACGTGGAGGGCCACGAAGAAGAAGTCATAGCGATCAAACCGAGGGTCAAGAAACTCGCGAATCAGTTTAATTTCTGTGAAAGGGCTGCACTCACTTATAATTTACCGCGAAGGGTTAGTATTTACGGTAATTGTTCTTATACTTGCTTTATTACTATACATAAGGGTTAATGATTATTTGTGAAAAGTCCGTCGAAACGCAAACTGTCCCACCTCCTCGTGCAACATACGGCGCTACAGTACTCCAGTGCATTATCTTTGACTTCTACCAAGAAGACTATGCGAGGAAACAGAGAGAGAAAGAAGAGGAGAAACCAAAAAGAGTAATGACAGCTAACTTATTACTTATTTGTACCAATTTGTTTGCAATTTCTAATACTATTTTTCCTCAGTTGCGTAAAAAAGCAAGAAAACACGCGAAATCCGCACAACAAATCCACGATGAACAACTCGCACAGAGGATCAGAGAAGCTTGGACGATACTCGAGAGATTGGTTAATCAAAATATTTATGACGACATTGGTAAGAAATTTTCTTGTTAAACTGAACACTTCTTTATATTTATTTTTTATATATTAAATTTAAAACATCCAGAATCACCAAAAATGTAGTTATTTTAATTTAACTGACAATATTTTTCTAAACATGTTGAAAAATAATTTTTCCGTCCGATCAATAATTTAAAACAGTGGGACGTAAACTCAAGAATTTGCAAAATAATATTTATTTAATTTTTTTTGTAAAAAGTAAGAAAATATTCCCAAAAAAATTGCTCTTTAGTAATTGCTTGTGTAAATTCATCTGTATAACAAAATCCAAAGAGAAAAATATTAAATGTAAAGTTATATTATAATCATTGCAGGATATGAATGAAACTTTTATTTTAATAAAAAATGAAAATTTTATTTTAAAGAAGTGGTACCTTATACTTCTTTCATCTTTGTATACATTCAAACATTTGCTAATTAAGTGCTAATAATATTTTAAATCTCTATTTTTAACACGGCTAATAAAATGCTGGTAAGATTAAAAAATAACTAAAGCCTAACTCAGCCCAAGACTATCGCTATTGGGATGATCCTTCGGACGAGTTCAGGGAAGGTATGGGATCTTTGCTGCCCCTGTGGAAGTTCCAATTCGAACCTATGAGGAGTCACGCTGTCTGCGACGTACAATGGAACCCTCACTATCAGGACCTGTTCGCTGTAGCATACGGATCCTGTGAGATTATATACACTACTTAAACGTTATTCAACCCAACATCTACACTAAAATTATATAAGTTATTCATTTCTAAGTATATTACATATATGATATAATATTTTTTTTTTACTAATTAAGGCAGATCAAAATATATACATACATATATGTAGTATAGTAGTTAGTGATTGAATACGGAGAATTGTTTTGCAAACAAAAATTAAGATACTTATCAAAAATTAAGTAAGTTACATACATTCTTGTCAGATATTTGAATGAGAAAACTAGCACTCAAGTACATATACAGGGTGACTGGTGAATTACTATCGATACTTGAAGACGTGATATTTGACGATCATATATGACAAAATAAAAATTAATATAACATAAATATTAATAAACTTCTAAGTAAAGTTAACCAAAAGCTATGTAATTAATTACGCATCGTGTGAACACCCTACAGATTAGGTATACACACACACACACACACTCGCGCGCGGCGGCGTGGTGTTGTATCAGCACGCCGACTCCCGCGTCCACACTTGGAACACTTGGAACGTGTCCACAATTTATTTATTTATACGGAAATTTGGTCAAAAATTAAGTACCTATTTTTTTTACATAATTCGAATGAGAATCATGTACCGAGTATTCTCCTTAAATATTGATAGTAAAACACCAGTCACCCTGTATAATATAGACTAAGAATAAAAATATTCTAAACAAAATTTTATGTTACTTACGCATAAAATTTTGCTGAAACAAATATTCTTATTGTGATTTTTTAAACGGCAGAAAACTCACCCTAAGGATTCAATTAAGTAGAAGCTTCTACGTAGTGCTAATGACTAGTCTTTTAAGGCTCAGTCAGGTTCTTCATCCATCCATATTCTCCTCATCAACAGTGGACTTCACCCAGCAACAAAAGCAGGGATGTCTCTGCCTCTACAGCATCAAGAACCCAGCCTATCCCGAGTACGCAGTAATTACTGAATCACCGGTTATTTGCCTCGACGTCTTCAAGGAAACACCATATCTTATTTGCGTCGGTAGGAAAGTTGTTTGCTCTTAAGGATATATTTAGCCATATTCATAGTAACTGCTCTACTGCTGTTATTTCCAGGTCTTTACGACGGGAACGTATGCGTGTATAACGCCCAACTCACGCTTGAATCCTCGTATCAGTATAAATCGGATTCAGTGAGAGACAAACACAGTAATATTGTTTGGGAGGTGATTATATTTTTTTGGCAGTTTATATATTACAGATGAAGATAATTTTGTATTGTATATAATTTTTGTTTTAAGTAATCTAGTTTTTGGTACAAACCTAATTTGTCCCAATTATCCTCAATATTGTCTTGGAAGAGAAAATATGCCACACATTTATAGTATACGTAATCCAATTTAACAACTCAGACATGACAATAATTAATATTTTCCTTATAACGAAAATTTGGCCCGATTTTGTTGTCTACCAAAAATATCTAAAAAAAAACCAAATGGAGTCAATGAAAGTATAAAAGAATAGCAAACCAAAATAGTTAGAAACAAAAAAAATAACTACAACAAAAAGTAACGAAATTCCACAATTCCATAATTCACTTAAAAAAAACAGTCATCTCTTATCTGGTGCAAGAAAAGCTGACAAAATATAAAAGCAATAAGTATATACGTCAAAAAAAAAGATAGTTCGCAAATAATTTGTTCCTCAATCCCAAAAATAAATACAATGATATTTATTTATATAACCATAATAAATATTATTATTTGAATAAAAGATTCGTTGGGGAGCTCGTCTGATAGACGGTGAGGCGTCATTCTTCTCTATATCCGGAGACGGTCGAGTGGTCCAGTGGGCGGTGATGCCGGGCGAATTACAGGCTACCACCATCATTACACTCAGAACAGACCTACCACCACTTCCGGGACCTGATGGGACCTTACTCACCGTCAATAGTAGGTTTAATATCATACTAGCTGCGCCCCGCGATGTTACCCGCGCATTTCCGGGATGTAAAGTAGCCTATGTACTATTCCTGGACGTCAGCTTCCTGTATACAAAATTTGATCAACATCGGTACAGTCGTTTGAGCGTAAAGAAGTAACAAACATACACATACAAACTTTCGTAATTACAATGTTAGTAAAATAGAACACAATAACAGTTTTCTTACAGAACTTAAGATTGTATCAAAATTTTGATTATAATTACTCATTTGTGTTTCAGTTCACAACGAAATCGTCTTCCAAAACTTATGCATACGATATTAAATATATCTAAAGAGTATGAAATTGAATATAAGTACATATAATAAAGTTAAATTATCATGTAAGGTTGCGGCAGCTGCATATGTTTCCACCCGGAGAAGGCGGATATATTCATGGTTGGTACAGAGGACGGTATGATATACACGTGCTCGCTCAAATACAACAGGAACTACGTGCGTTCGGTACAAGGACACCACATGCCGGTTTACAGAATACATTACAATTACTTCAACAACAGCATATACGCCTCGTGTTCCGGGGATTGGAGGGTGAAGATATGGGAGGACGGGCGGGAGTGAGTATTGTTCTGGAAATTTCTACCATGGCATTTTTTAAAAATGGAATTTTATTTTGATGACGTTTTCAACTGTCATTGATCTATATGTCAAAAGTGATCTAAATAGTTGTTTTTTTTTTTTCATTTGCTTATATCTGTCTCCAACGAAGGAATAAAAAACCATGTTCTTTTTTTAAACAAAAGAATATTTCTTACACGAAATATAATTTTTTTTTGGAATTGTCAACTTGTTCCTATTCACCCCATGACTTTATTTTAACCTTATAATGTTTTTAATCACCTCAGCGAGCCCCTGTTCATGTTCGAGCTTGGCTCGCCGGTGGGTGACGTGAAGTGGGCTCCGTACTCCAGCACTGTGTTCGCGGCCTGTACGGCTGACGGAAAGGTGAGTTACCGGTTTTCATAAACTTTCATAGCGGTCGTTTAATTGGCGGGAAAACATGGCTTCATTCACACTGAATTAACTGAAAATTACGACAATGTCATGTTTTTATTTATTGGTATGAAATATAATCTAATTATAAATACTGGGTAAAGACAACACATACAAGTTTCTCTTGGGAATAATACGTTTTTAGCAATATATATTATAATAATCAAAGCAATATAGAAATTACTTTGAAATGTCAAGTTATTTTAAAAACATTGTTGGTGCCTATTTGAAAGTAATATTTTTATCATCTTATTTAATTATAGGATTGCACCGCGAATACAATTATTGGAAATCATTTTTTTCATATTATTAGTTAGGTAACAAAATAACTTGAAATTTCTGAAAAGCACAAAAGCACGAAACTATTTTAAGATCCTGTTATGAAATTAAAATTGTTAAATGTTTGTTTTTAAATTACTGAAATAGAAAACTGGTCGTGATATTAATTTATAACATTTTTATTTCACTTACATTTCCAGAAAAACTATTGAAAATTATAAAATTGTTAACTTTTCAAACAAAATTCACTATAACAATATGTCTGACGAACATCTGATAAACAAAAAGTGTCAAATGCATTTAATATAAGAAATATAATTAAAACTCATCTAAAATCAAAGCGCCTACAATTCTATTCGAGCAATTGTTTGAAGCGATAACCGTTATTGCATTCAATACGCCTCGTTTTCGCTACACTGCTTTCTATTCCCTTTGATAGCTTTGTTCGAAAACAATACGTGTTTCTAGAACTATCGATACCCCTTTGAAACCCTTTGACCATTAAATACCTATATATTTATAATCTGTTAAATACAAATACGTAAAACATAAATTTTGCTATTTAAATGTTATTATTATGACAGAAAAAGACGTTACCATGTGCTGTAATATAAAAACTTTTTGAATTTTCGTGTAAATGTTATATTTGAACAGGTTTACGTTTTCGATCTCAATGTTAACAAATACCGCCCTATCTGCGTCCAAGCTGTTGTGTCAAAGAAAACAAAGAAACTCACAAGAATCGACTTCAACCCAATTTTGCCGATCGTGGTGTGTGGAGACACTAAGTAAGTTAAACATTTTACATTTTTTTAATGTTTATATTGGATGAAAAATAAATATTTTTAGAGAAGAGAATTTTTTGGTTTAAATTTTAATAATTTAATAAAAAAATGGATAATCATACTGAATCATATACCTACTTTAAATTTAATTTATCATATTTAATATATGCATATCCAAGTAGGTAGTATAATATAAAGTTTAAAAATCTTTGTAAATAATATAATAGTAAATATTATCACTAAAATTTAATTACTATAAAAGTTAGTACAAATATTTCACTTGCATTTACAACGCCTCCATAGCTCAGGGGTTAGAGCACTAGTCTTGTAAACTAGGGGTCGAGAGTTCGAATCTCTCTGGAGGCAACTAACTTTTTTTATTTTTTTTTCTTTATATTAATTTATTTTTAATATTTTCTACAGAGGTACCTGTCACGTTGTAAAGCTATCACCAAATTTACGTGTCATGTGTAAACCACCGAAAAAGGCGCAGGGCATAGAACAAAGGACTTTACAGGTTTGAAATATGTTTCTATCGAATAAATAAAACCTTTTTGTATATTACAAATTGAAAATTAATCTAATTTATATATTTTTTTCATTATAGATAATGAAATTAGACAAACTTTTGAGTTTAGTCCGGGACCCACCATTCCAGACAGGGGTAGTCGATGAAAAGTTTGAAGATGATTGACTTTTATATATATTATGTTTTTAAGTTATTTTATTATAATTTTAATTTAATTTATAACAATAAATACAATATTATATTTTAACTGATTTATTATTTAAGGAACCTTATCATCTAAAGCATTTTGTTTCAAAGGCATGTCAATTACATTTAAAAAATATACAAGCAGAATCAACATGGCTACAACCATAAAAGGTACAGAAAAATTATAGAGATTACAATAATAAATTAAATTTGATAAACTCTCAAAACAAAACAAAACCCATTTGTAATGGCAGCGACTTACATATATGTATATTATAATTACGACTAGAAGACATTAAAAATACTTTATAATTTATATAATTGTATATGAAGAGTATTGCATCAATATATTTTTATACCGATTTTATTGCTCAATTTATATGAGAAAATCTTTTTATTACATAACTAAATCTACAACTATCACAAATTCAAATGACTAGATAATTTATACATCCAAAAGGAGTAAGAGATCATCGTTCAAACTAACTGAACACAAAACATTGAGCCGAAAAGAGTTTTAGATACCATATACTTAAACTAGGTAATAATCACATATACTTTGGATAACTTAAATTATTTTTAGAATGTAGCAATTTAGTTAATTCCAGTTTCGCTAGATGGCGTTATTTCACTAAACTCCACAAGCGTTTGTGCTTCATGAACTCACAAATACATTTAAGTAAATGCATACTTCGCTCTGTTTACGAATTTATACGTATTATAATAAATTATATATATCATGGATCCTGAAAAAGGATTTGAAGAAAATAATTTACACCCATTATACTCTAGGGGTATAGAAGTCTTGGGCCAATCCTTTCGCTTCTTTCAACAGCATTTGGACCTAATTTGAGATCCAAAAATGCTCGAGCATCATTCGGGGCCGGAGCTTGGCGTCCAACAAATTGAATCTAAAACAACAAAACTTCATAATAAAATCCACAGACAAACATAAATTCTTAATATTTAAGTGTTGTCTACTAAGTTAAATTAAAAAATATATACAGTAGGACCCCGATTATCCGGACCTCGGTTATCCGAATTCGCGATTATCCGGACTGCCAATCGCGACGAGTTTATTCTAACACTAGCTTTTGCCGCGACTTCGCCCGCGTGGAATAGTGACTTCCCTCAAATTTTTGGTTCTTCCCACATTTTTCCCTTTCTTGTGGGGTTTTCGGAATGGTCGAGTTCCCTTAGAATTTTCAGGATAAAACCTATGTTTTTTTTATTCACAATGAAGTACTCTTAACCAAAAACATATTTATTTGTTTATTTGAATAATATTATTATGTTGATACAACTTAAACAAATTATTTCGACCAAATTAGATACCATAAAAACAGTTTTGGTGAGTTAATCTTAAAAGATAGACATATACTGTCGCGGACTGTTTTTTAGATTATTAAAAGAGCTATTATCCTTTAATACATATTTTTTGTGCATCTTGAACCGTTTTCACGGCGCACGCAACGGAAGGCTTCAAAGATGAAATAATTTCTCCCGTTTTTTTACACATTTTCCACTATATCTTTGCTCCTATTGGTCGTAGCGTGATGTTATATAGCCCACAGCCTTCCTCGATAACTGGACTCGATACTGAACTCAATAATTCGAACCAGTAGTTTCGGAGATTAGCGCTTTCAAACAAACAAACAAACAAACAAACTCTTCAGCTTTATAATATTAGTATAGATTAACATGTCAGAACTTGCATAACGCCACGCCACTCGTGCCGTCCGTGATTTTCGTTGATTTTCGCTCATATGTTTTTGTTGTTTTAAATAAACACCTAACATTACATATGTAGGGTACAGACTACATATGGACATATGGAAAAAGCCCGTTTTTCTTCATATATTGGATTATCCGGACTTTCAATTATCCGGATGCCTACCGACAACAATTAGTCCGGATAATCGAGGTCCTACTGTATTTATTTCTACTTATTTCTTAGAATATGATTTAATTCTCTATTAATAACGCGAATTACTTAGAGAAACTCGAAAGCTTTGTTAAACTTTCAATGTCAAAATTATAACAAATACAGTGGTATTATTTTTAAAAGAAATTTAATTATTAAAGAAATTATTAGCTTGCACTTTATTACAAAGGGATGATATTTAAAAAAACAAATAAAGAGAGCTAAGATTTTCGCGAGTATTCATTTAAATGAAACTAACATTTTTCGGATGTACTACGCGATTTTATTTTTCATATAAAACTACATACTCCCGACGTTTTGGCTACTTTTCAGCAACCGTGATCACGGGCAGACGAAAAGTGATCACAGTTGCTGTAAATATTAGTTTCATTTAAAACAAAGTTAAAAATTAATTATTCAATTTTTAAAATTAAAGTAACTATAAAATTGATATTAACCTGTGCTAGAGGATGCAAATGTCTTTCAGGGAAGTCACGTTGGTGTGATAGAACCCAATCCGCCGGCCACATGGTCCCATTTCTTGCAGTAAAAGGCAGTATAAGTACATATACTCTATTCGTTGCTGAATACGCTACTCTGTAGTAATGCCCTTTGGTTGCGCGTTCCCAAACAAAACCATCATTATCCGCACCACCTCGCTGTAGCCACGACACTCTTGATAAATCTGATGCATGAATCCCTATTTCAGCATATTCCGCCCATGGTAGTAAATCCCCACTGAAATTATAGACAATTATATTATAAATCTGCGTATTTATAACATTATTTTATGCACTAAATCAGACCATATTAAACAGGTTCAAAATAAAAAAAGAACAATTGAATTAAGATGAATGTTCAATAATTTAGCATCTCTAAACAGTCAAGTGTTCGGTTTTTTTTTTCAAATTTCGGATGGTTTCGAAAACATACAGGAAGAAAGAGTGTTGGCAGTTACTTGTACGCTCACAAATGGAGAATCGCAAAATACCTCAAGACCTAATCCAATCACAGTAAATATAACTACTGTTTAAGCAAAGAGGATGTGGCACAGGTCACATACTTCTGAATTTCCCATGAAGGAGACAGATTGTAGTAAATAAATAAATAATATGAAAAAAAAATCTCATCAAATATTTCCACATATATTTCAAATACAATATTTTTTTATACTTTCTTCAATCCTTACAACAAAAAACCAATCCGTTTTTTGCCAGTGTGTGGTTAAGACAAAGAGTCACAGTAACTTAGGATGGCCTATGCTCTGCCGCAATATTATAAATAAATTGAATACAACCATTAGTAGAGGCCAGACATACAAATAGATTATTAAATAAATCATGTTTTAATGATTTTATCTTTGTGGTAAATTATGCTCAGCAATTATGAGACTTTAATTAAACCAGCTTCCATTATAGATGTTGTTGCAAATGCTGTTCTTGATGTATTGTTAATCCCTACTAATATTATAAATTCGAAAGTAACTCTGTCTGTCTGTTACGCTTTCACGCCTAAACCACTGAACTGATTTTAATGAAATTTGGTAGAGATAGAGTTGACCTTGAGAAAGAACATAGGATAGTTTTTATTCCAGACTTTTGAAAGGTTCTCTTGGTAACGCGGTATAACCGAACTCGACGCGGGCGAAGCTGCGGGCGGAAAGCTAGTATGTACATACTTGACAACAGCACCCAATAGTGATGTTGTCTCCAACCAACATCTGGCTCCTGCTTGAAGCAGAGCTCGCAACACATGACCAGTTGTACGACGAATGTTCCTACGACAACACGGTGGTGTGTTACGACCCGACACAACATACGATGGTACACGTTGAACTGGAGGGAAACACCGCTGAAATGTAACACAAAATAACAATTTATATAAAGATATAAATAAATTACCTATAATTTTAAGATAAATATTTTTGTTTTAAAACATAATATGTACATCCTTTGACATTAGTTTAAGATTGTTATTGATTTTTTTTTATGATTTTATGACAATTAATATGACCAAAAATATTTTTTTATGTATATATTTTTTAATAGTACAGACTACAGTCCTGTATATGAAGGATATGATAATTACAATATCTTATACCTATATAAAATTCTCGTGTCGCGGTGTTAGACTGAGAACTCCTCCGAAACTGCTGCCGACCGATTTTTATGAAATTTTGTGAGCATATTGAGTAGGTCTGAGAATTCGCCAACATCTATTTTTCATACCCCTAAGTCATAACGGTTGTTCACCCGTATTTTTTTAACGGACGAATTTTTCGCTTTTTATTTTTTTATAATGTAGCATTAAAATATACATATAACCCAAATTTTTTTATTTTTTTCACCAACCCCTATTTTTTTATATCACAAAACAATGTTTGCCGGGTCAATTTATTATTATCACCTGCGTTTCCCTCTTACATCCAAACCATTGCACTCTGCCATCTTCTTTAACAACAGCTTTCACACCAATATCTTTGTACAATGCTGTCCGATAGTCCCTCAATCTTCTGGATGACTTCTGCTTAGCAGCGGGAGTCTTTAGAACACTTCGCCCAGCTGCAAACTTACTATCCAAAATTTGTACCTGTAATGATATAAATTGCATAAATTCTATTCTAAAACTTTAAAAATGTATATGGCCCTTTATTGTTAAATACCTTGACATTTTTTACTGCAGTCTGCAAGTATAAAGACTCGGGGAAAGGGAATGAAAATGGTTTCGGCAGTGTGTGTAATACAGATGTTTTAATCATGAGTGCATGTTGTCCCTGCACTGCATCACAAAGCTTTTTAGAGGAATCTCTGCTGTATTGAAGCGTCCAGTCGTCATATGCCCATTTAATTTGCTGGCAACTAAGACGAGCATTACCAACAGCTACGGCAATAGCTTGACTTGGGTATGTTGTAGCCGCTATAGTCATTTGCTGGAACACCCGTCGTGATACACGCGACGAATCAGGCACTATCAGTACATACTCGGTTGATATATAGGAAAGTGGATCCAAATCTCGAGGAGAACTATCGAGTTTTAACTCCATTGATAATATTTTCACATTTTTCAGAGTTTCGTTTGTACTAGAAAATTGAAACGGGGGATACTGCGCTCTTTGGCATATCACTAGTATGGCAATATTCGGGTACGCTGACACAAAGGATTGTACACCTTCAGCGATATCATTCTCAAAATCTTCGAATTGTCGAAACACCACCGTCACTAATTTCGATATATGTCGTGAAGCGTGTGAGTGAGCAGAACTAGGTGATGTTACCGGTGCTATTGGATATATTTTATACTGTGGGAGTAAATAGCCGCATACAATAATGGCAATTATTCCCAAAAGTAGATATACTTTGAATGTAAAGCGACCGCGAAATAGACGATGTAACATTGTTTCTTCTCAATAATATACACATTCCATTCATAATATTAGTTTAAGATGTTTATTCTCCAAATATTTTGCAAAAATTAATCAACCAAGTGGCGAAGATTGTTGTATTATTTTCTTTATTTTTTGCATTAATCCGTACTTGTATGCTGAAATGTCATTTTATATCGGTGACAACTGACATCTTATAATATAGCACAGGGGATTCATAATATTATGTAGTGTCAATTATGTTGACCTCATTTTCAGTAATTTTTGTCTCTAATTGAAGGTATGATATACAGAGTCTCCTTTAATTATAATAATCCTTATAAGTAACTTTACTAAATATCACCATACAAAACTTTGAATATATATAATACATTACACACCTTATTTTTTAATCTATATTGTTTTATCAAAAATATAGTCTTTCATTAAAGTCACTACGTTTCGTCACTTTCGTGTTTCGTATTATTTGAGCATTGCCATCATTCCATTCGGCTTAATTATTTCCTTGTGTATAAATTAGTGGGTAATATGGATGAATCTAATGATTTTGAACCTCTGGAACCTTCATTAAAAAATGTAATAGAACAAAAATCCCTCCGTTGGATATTTGTGGGAGGAAAAGGTGGCGTAGGAAAAACTACGTGTAGGTAAGTGACTTCCTTTTTTTGCGTGCGCTATTTATTTAAATTGGCTATTAAATTTATACTTTCTCAATACAGCTGCAGTTTGGCAGTCCAGTTATCAAAAGTTCGAGAGTCGGTCCTTATAATATCCACAGATCCGGCTCATAACATATCGGATGCCTTCGATCAGAAATTTTCTAAAGTAAGTCACTAATTACTATCACAACTGTTACAATATCGACTATAATGTCATTAAAATCGTAACTACTCTATATAAAAAAGATTGAATGGATGTAGAAAGTGTTGAGTATTTGATTTAATTAGAATTATAAAAAAATATGTATTATTAAACACAGCATTCTTATTTTTTACTCGGGGTCTCAAACTCCCATAAGATTTTTGGGTCGAAGAGTAATAGAATTAGAATTACTACTTATATATAAAAACCTTAGCTATATTGTTTCCATACTTTTGTGATGAAATAACAAACAGAAACAAAACAGTTTCAAACTTTATAATATTTGTAGAAGTATGTCTAAATATTTACAATAATTCAAATACATATGTAAAAAAATGTATTTACTTAAGTAACACCGATGAATTAGGTCTAAATTTGACTTATTCTAACATTACAGGTGCCAACAAAGGTGAAAGGGTTTGATAATCTATTTGCTATGGAGATTGATCCTAATGTAGGGTTAACAGAATTGCCCGAAGAATACTTTGAAGGCGAGACTGAGGCTATGAGACTTGGAAAAGGTGTGATGCAGGAGATCGTTGGAGCGTTCCCCGGTATTGATGAAGCCATGAGCTATGCAGAGGTAGGCTTATTAATTGTTATATGTGATACTATCTACTGTAAAAAAGTGTGCACAGAGATATGGAGTAGGCTCAACAGAATATATTTGAAAAAGAAATACCAATTTTCATCATAATTTCTTACTCTTAAACATGTATAATATTGCCACATAAGGTTACAGCACTTCTATCAGAACCATAACTATATATTTTATATTACTATCAACTACCTCTGAGCAACGAAAGTACATTCAAACAATTACAAGCTGTTCATCACTGCTTTATTTATTTAAATAATAATACTTTTTATTAAAACAAGTAACATTACCTTTTTTTACTTAAATCTTAACTGGTTTCACTTTCACTTTGTAACAATTTTCATTTTATCATCAAACGACAACAATGAAAATGTAGGTACTCATAAATAATTTTGTTAAACACACATCACCAGTACAGAGCTCACAGCTATAATTTCCCATAATTCCTTAATAATTCAAATAATTACTTAGTTAAAATCTACTTTAAATTAAACAAAGTAGTTTTAGTCTCTATATTGGAATGGTAAGCAATGCTTATTTGCATCTATGCTGTACACACATTGATGGTAATATAATATATATATTTTCACACTTACAGTAAATGTATGAAGATGAGCTTAAAATAAAATAAGAAAAAAAAATTGTTGTTTTCATATACATATATTGTTTTAAATTTTCTTAGTTATTTTTTATTTATATGTAAGACTTTATAATCTAATTAAGGTAAAGTCACTAATGCCCGACACTAATGAAAACACTATGTTCAAATGACAATAATCATACATTTATTAAACAAAACAATTCCAGCTTTTTTATAGGAACATAATGTATCTTAACAAATTATCTTGAGTAATAAAATTTCAATAATTAACATATTTTAAATTATTTTCAATTAATAAAATATATATATTGTCTTAACCACTAAAAGATGACATCACAAAAAACGAAAATTACCGATAGTAGACAGTCAAATGCCCTTATACTTGACATTGATTTGACATATGGATGATGTTAAATTTTGAGGCTGTCTATGGATTAGGTCTGGGTTCCGCTTTAAAAAACTGCTGTAACATCTTTTACTAGGCTTCCCATTTTTAAGAGGAGTTTCTAAATTCAAATCATCAACAATTTTTTTCGCACTATCTTGTAAATACTCTTTGCCTATTGGAAATCCTAGTTTCACCATAGCTTTAGCCCACTTTATAAGCAAAGCTTCAGTATCATCTGAGATGTAGCATGTTCGACCCATTTTTCGTTTTACATATTGGTGTTTTACCCTTTACTTTATTCAGCAGAGTTACCCTTGGTACCCCGAATTTTTTTGATGCAGTTGACGTCGGAACTACTCGTTAGCATTCTTGAATAGCGGCTTCCATATCAGCCTTAGAGTAACGAAACATGTATCCTTTTATTGGTGGCATAATTATCAGTCTGGAACCTTAGAACCATTAATTGACATCAGTATACCCCAATAATAGACACCATGTCTACCTTTAGTTACAGTGTGATCCAAAAAAAGCTGATATCTCTACAGTAATCTTTTCATTGGAAATGTGTCCAAAATCGCGTCAAACGTAACATAATACATAGTTTAATATCGGGAAACACCAATAGATGACATGCCTGTCAACTATTAGATTTTCATTTTTTTTTGGAACTAATAGTAGACATATCATAATTTGCTAGAAAAATATTAGCAAACACAAGAAAAGCATTTTTAACATTATCTCAAAACCTCATTGAAACTTTGACAAATGAATAAAAAGCATTTTTTAATTAAATATCGGTTCAAAATTCACCTTCAAATTTCGGCGTCCTTAACCTAAGAATTAAAAAATTAAGACACGCGCGCTCACTCCGTTACGTTACGGTACAAGTGAGGATATTTTTGAAATTTCGTCTAGAAACTGTTGGGACTTTTTGAGAATAATTCATAGATGAGACTAGACATCTTACGATATTAAATTTACTAAAATTGTTTTTAATACAAGAACATTCCTTCGAAGGTGTCATCCTTTAGGTCACTGTCTGGCATTAGTGACTTTACCTTAATGTTACATACAGTACTCGTATATGGTATTCTATGATTAATGATTATACATAATACATTTTTACCACTTCAGTTATATCTTTCTATGTTAATTCTAAACATAGAAATATGAATAGTGATCTTATAACAATTCTATAGTATCTGTTGCGGTTGGGATGTCCGAATATCGAGTTCGGAATCGTTCGCCGCTTGAGGGGTGGATCGGATCGGATGATAATTCCTCCAATAGCAGGCGGCCGGTGATCCGATCCTCGGGATCCGTGTTCGTGGCGGGTCGTATCGTCGTTTTAGAATGAAACCACAACTTGTTAGGTAATGGCGGCAGAATCACTTGGTTTGTATGACCACGTGGTCCCTAGTCACTATCTTGAAAGCGCGGTTCTTCTTTTGTTCGGGTTCTTCACTGTTCTTCAAAGCGTATGAGATGTCTTCACGAGATCTGGCTGGTGACTACTGATGATGACTACTGATAACTGATGACTGGTGATGACGACTGATGATGACAACTGACGACTGATGACGACTGACTGACTACTGACGACTGGTGATGACGACTGACTGACTACTGACGACTGGTGATGACGACTGACTGATGACTACTGATGACTACTAACTATTCGACTCACAGCGGCCGTGTTTTATATACGTTGCGCGCGCGCACCTAGTACCGCTGTGAGCCAGCGCGGATGCCCCGCCCCCGCCAAGTGACCCTACCGCCGTTCGTTTATTGGTCAATAGGTTTATCTTAAGTTTGACAATAGTATACTGCGCTTTTGCAAGAGACGCTGATTAGGGATTTTTATTTACACGTGTTGCGCACCTGCAAGAGTCGCTTTCCTTTTATTAATTATACAATACAAATATTAGCCTAATTCCTTATTTCTTACATTTCTTATCTCTTAAATCTATTATTAACTAAACATCAGCTGCGTCGCCGACAGTATCCTTATCTAGCATATATTACTTTTCGAACATTTTATTTGAGTCAAATAATGTACCCACTAACAACATGTTCCTGTATTAAAGATTAATATTTTTATATTTCTTTCAGGTGATGAAGCTTGTCAAAGGTATGAACTTCAGTGCAGTCGTGTTTGATACAGCACCCACAGGGCATACATTGCGTTTGTTATCATTCCCTCAAGTGGTCGAAAAGGGTCTCGGTAAATTGATGCGACTAAAATCAAAGGTAACAAATAATATAACTATTTTTTAGGTAACTTTCTTCCTTTGATACGTATATTAATTGAATTTCTCCTTATTATCAGGTGGCTCCGTTCATCAATCAAGTGGCAACATTGTTTGGGCTGGCTGAATTCAATTCGGACATGTTCAGCAACAAACTGGATGAAATGTTATCAGTTATAACACAAGTTAACACACAGTTCAAAGATCCAAATCAAACGACATTTGTATGTGTGTGTATCGCTGAGTTCCTCTCGTTGTATGAAACTGAAAGACTCGTCCAGGAATTAACGAGATGTGGAATAGATACACATAATATAATCGTTAATCAGTTGCTTCTACGAACATCAGCACCGTGTGAATTGTGCGCAGCTAGACATAAAGTGCAAGAGAAATATCTTGAACAAATAGCAGATTTATATGAAGATTTCCATGTAACAAAATTACCATTGTTAGACAGGGAGGTACGTGGAGCAGCAGCAGTCCAATCTTTTTCAGAACACTTATTAACACCATATGTTCCACCAAATTCCAGTTCTTAAGCTATCATAGCTATTAAAGTATTAGGGACACATTCTGCTTGATATAAAACGCGTGCAATAATTTTTATAGGAAAATGAAAATTAATATGGATAGATTTAGGAATTACTTTGGGTTATTTGTGTAACATTCATTGTCTATATAAAATCATATTATCTGTAAACTATTGAATAGTAAATTATTTTATACAATAGTAAATCTGAATAAATATTTCGAAAACATTGTGAATATATCTTTTATTTTAATAATAATAAACGCTGTTGCATGAAATAAAAGGATATTGAATCGACCAATTGCTGTTCATGAGTTTTCCTAAAGAGGTAATAGAGCAGATTTTAAATACAGTAAAGCTTTGTCGCCATGGACATCTGAATCATAAAGAGTTAGATTGTTTAAAGTAGAAGGAAACGGTCAAATCGATTTTGGTTTTGTCGCAAAAAATGTCTCAAAAGAGGTTGGTTTTCTCTTTAGTAAGTCCATAAGACTTGTGCAAGTGTAGCATAGAAATTTTACTAAAAATACCTTCTCCCGATTTTAGACAGACATTAAAAAAAATGTTACTAAACATAAATTTTACAAAATAGTAAGTTACTTAATCGATCGCAGCATCTCCAATATTCTTTAAAAATTTATGAAACATCTATACTAATATTATAAAGAGGAAATGTTTGATTTTTTTCTTTCGTCGTCGGACGTCGCGGCATCATATCTAGCAATATAAACTATTATAGTTTTGTCACAATAAGCGATTTTTTATATTAAAAAAATTATTGAAAGACCACTGCTTGAAAAAGCTCTTTATTTGTATCTTAGTATTAATCCTTATCAAAATAAATGATTTATTATTTAAGGTCATCTCAAAACCTTTCTATAACTTTTTGAATTACATATTAGATTCTGACATTGGATTCAAAAGATATTACGAGTTAAAAAATTTGAAAAATATCCGTTCGGCGGTTAATTATGCGTTGTAGAGTTGTAGGCGTCACTCGGGCACGGAGGTACGGGAGGGGATTTAACTCTTAAGATTACGAAATAATATCTAAGAATTAAATTTCCTATTATTTTTTTATTTGACACAAAAAATTGTGAATATTTGTGTAAATGTTGTTTAGTGCCCGTGCGAAGCCGCTACATGTATAATAACATCCATTACAACGTTCACAGTTTTTCTGTAATGTATTGCACTCGTGCGAAGCCGGGCCGGGTCGCTAGTATTATATAACTCACTTGTAAGTTGATCAATGACAAATTGTCGAAGTAGAATCTTCATATGGGCGGGAAAATGAGATTCATTGACAACCAATTAGATTAAAATTAATTTATAAAGTGATGTGTAAAAAAACACGTTTTCATGGACCACATTTTTATTAAATTCCTCCCTTTTACAATACAACATAATACTATTTTATTTGCAATAATAAGTTACTTCAACAACTATATATCATGATAAAATTATAACAACCATATACTTAATACTGTCAAAAAGCTTGAAAAATGGCAGTGATTTTTCATTTATCTATATATTGCTGCTATTTAAACAAAATAAAAAAAATGTGAATAATCCACGTTCACTTATGTTGGAATTTAATTAAATCTGTTTTATAAAATTAATAATATCCATATATAATACTATTGTACTTTTTACTTTAGTGACTAAGAACTCAAACCTAACATTTAATCTATGGACAATAAACCATTCCGCTAAATTGCATCTTTGTTCGTCAACTTTGGTTTTTAAAGCAAATCACAAAGTCTAAAACATAATCTCAAACAGAAAACTAAAGTACCTAATATCTTTAAATCTCTCATTTACAAAATAAAATGCGTAAAGTGACGTCAATGACTAATAATAATGACAAATATCGTTGTAAAGAAAAAATTTACTGAACTCAAATTAAAAACAGATTTCAACTTCATAAAAATAATAAAAACATAAAAAATATGAATACAAATTACAGATTTCACGTAAGTAATACATTGTAACCGAATTCAAATCCTTACAAGCCATCGTTCAAAAACACCACAATAATAATATAAGTATGTATATTTTAAACGGTAAGAATTAGTTTAAATATAATATGAAAAACATAAATAAATATATATAACAATCTGTGAAAGGCAAAAGCATTTCAGTTTCGGATAGAAAAATCTCGATTAAGTAATCTATTGTTATATATTATTGCACCACACGTAAAAAACATACCAAAACATAACAGATAATTTATAAAACAATATGGCAGTCATATTTTTATAATTTGTATCCATCACTTGTGTCAACTGTTTCTTGTTTGACATGGTATATGCCAAGCTGTCAATGTCGCTCCTATGAGGGAGCCGATGAGGGCAGCTATACACGAACCGAATTCGAAAAGCAGTTTAGGTGTGAAAACACCCCAAACCATGAGGTGGCGACAGTGAATCGTAGCTGATAACGCGCAGGCGAATATCTGAAATATATTTTACATCATAAGAATCGTTTATTATGAAGGAAATATTGTGTTATTGAAATATGGGACCGTTATTTTTTATAGGCCTGGAACAAAGTCATTGGAAAATTACCCGCGCTTAGTATTTTATACTAATAGTTTTCTTTTTAACACTTGTATTACAAAAATAATCTGACATTTAGATTTTAGTCTCATTTCTACAATAATATAAAAAATCTTTTAAATTTGGTCAAATCGATTAAGTTTTTTTTCGAAGATATTGTAGTTACGATACTCGAAAGTAAAAGGGACATAGCGATAGTATTAAATAAGTTCCCTTACTCTAATAGCGAAACATAGTTGAAACTTCAGACATAGTGTAAACACGGCTGCGAGTTGTGTTCGGGGCCCCACAGATCCCGCGCGGCCCCACAGACCCAGCAACGGGACAGTCGCACCAAACATTAGAGGCATACCTTGGGATAAATAAAATTTAACTATAACTTGGCTTTATTGAACAAAAAAAATATTTATTTCAAATACAAAGATGTTATAAAATATTTTTAATGTAGGTCTTCATATAAGAATTTATTTTTTTTAAAACTACATTTAAATTAAGTATCAAACAGTATGAAATAGCGTTAAAGTAGATTAAGTAAATACAAAAGATTATTTGTGAACGTCAACAACTATTTTATCGCTGGAAACAAACATTGAAATATATATATTTTTTGAGCGCAGATTTTTATCTTGATATGAGTAACTATGTGAGACTGAATAAATGTGTTTCATTCCAAAAGTTATAAAGGTTTTTCGAAGTTGTAATACAAATGAGTCAAAGAAACTAAAATATTTTGTAGATTCTAATAACAACGTTGTGTGACAAAAACAAAATAATATAAGTTGCTAAAAGTATTTTTTCTTCAAGACTTACAAAGACTAATATCTAAATACCGGTATACAAATTTAAATATCGAAATAAAAAACATATTGCTGAATAAAAATAACTCAATAAAATGAATGCATTTATATAATTTAGTCAACAATTATTATAGTTAATAATAAAATTAATAACAAATAAGTCAAATTACGAGTGATGAAGTAGAATATGTATATGTAAAAGTTAATATCATAGTATTATATAGGAAGAACTCACCAAATAGATATATGAACATTAGTACGACGGAAACGATATGACCGATGGACAAATAGTTGGGGTCCCCTGCATGGAAGACAGCCGTCCACCGGACATGACCGAGAGTCGCGTGATGACCCGTGCCATAGAAATGATAGGAAGCTAACAACGCCCACAAACAAGCCATACTTGAACTACACCGCGTCGCTAATGCTGAAATCACCAAAATATATCACTAATATACCTTTATGTGAAGTTATCAGTGTAAAATAATGTTAAAACTTACAAAACTTCGCCATTCCTTCACTTTTCAACATGGAAACGATGTTTAATGCTAGAAATCCAGACAGAAGCGCCAAACCAGCTGTTGGTGCATACGCAGCCCCCAATACTAAAGCATTCGCTAGATAAAACAATAGACCGGTCACGACTAAAGGCAATAAGGTACCCCTTCCATCCCTTTTCCACAATATTACGAACATTGTCACTATAACCAGCCAGGCACCCCTCGCTAACATTTTGGACCTACTAGGGGAACCCAAAGAACCCCAACCCACCGCCCAATGAGCGCACGTGAAAATACCAGCTATCACAATCCCATAACCTCTCCAGCCTAAATGACGTCTAGCTGTAGCTACCACACCGGACACGGAACCTAGTGCGAGGACTAAGGCAGCTCTTGTAGCACTTCCGGCTGACATCCCTTCCCCGGAAGTCCAGCACTCTCCCTGTTCCTCCCTACATCCTCTATAAGTCCGCGTCAATGCCATCACAGCCCCAAAGCCAGCCCATAGCAACAAAGCCTTCATTGTTCCAATATTCCAGGCCATCAAACCTAATATCGTCAGCGTGAGAAATGATAAAGTAGCACCTTCCTCTATTATGTAACTGTTCGATACTAAAACAATGGCAGACGCGAATAAAGCTGATCGACCGAATCTTTCGTAAAACAGAGATCTGCCTTCATACCACCGCTGGGTTATACCATCCCAATGCATTATCACGAGCATACATGTTAGAGCTCCCGAAACCAAACCAGTGGTCAAGACAATCGCATGTCCCAAATCGTCAATAACTTGAAAATAGTAAGTACTATAACAAATCCCAACACAAACACCAAAAGCGACCAATACACTAGGGACAAAGGAACTGGAAAAAACATTAGAAATGCGTTCGAACGGAATGCCCTCTATGATCAACCAATTGAAAAATATAGCAAGAAGTAGCAATAGAAGTGCTCTCAGCATTGATAGAGAATCAAATTCTACCCATACTTCACGGAATACTCCTCTAAGATTACCCATCAGTTCTCTGAAACAAATATATTATATAAGCTATTATATCCATTTCCTTTTCCTAGTAAAATAAATATATATGGCCTACCTAACATCATCAACATATGCCCTCAATTCCATATCATTTTTGACATCAGCAGCCTTTTCTATTTGATTTCTTGTAGCATTAATGAGATTGGCCAATCTTTCTAATGGTACTTGCTGCGATTCTTCTCCGTATCTTATTAAATATTGTGTAACCTTAAAAATAATATACCTCCAATAGTTTTTACTCAATTATATTCAGTTAAGGAGTTACAAATCATGAACATCATTCTTATAAGACATTCTACTTTCAATTGGGAAGTTCTTGTAATATATGTCAATATTAATAAATAGCAAATAATTAGTACAAATACATATAGTAGTTATGTAAAATCTTACCTGTTTTAGATTATTGGTTAAGTGTAACAAAGCATGAGTTACTGGTATGTTCGGTAGTAAGGGTAATAATAGATTTCCTAGCGACGGAGCTGGCGGGGGTCTACCTAAAGCCGCACTAATGGTTGGCGCTAAATCTGTCTGCTGTATTTCTCTACCCGACATCCTATCGGAGTCATCACCAGAAAAACCTGAACTGTAGTATGCAAACAAAGCTGCAGTTCGCTCGGCTTTACTTTCACCACCATGGTCTCCTACGACAAAATAGACACACATTCATCTATACACACACACCTATAGACCAAATCTTAATATAAACATCATTTTCGTCATAGAAATATGACTAATACTATATAGGGTAATAAAATTAAACTATTTCCAAAGTAGAAAAAGCAAATGAAACTTTAATTATTAACAAAAATTCAACCTACCCTCAATCCCTTCATGCACGACTAAAACAACAACATATTGATGCTTTAAAGTTTAAATTAATAGCTATAAATTTAAGGTTATTTAATTTAAATTAAATTTTAAACAGTATTCACCTGTTTCTGTCATTCCATGGTCGCCAGCTACATATAGAATAACATCCGATGGCAACATTTCTATCAACTTTTCTAGTCTTTTATTGGTCTCTGTTAATTTTCTAGCCATTTCTGGGTGATTTGGTCCATATCTATGCCCGGCGTGGTCAACGCCAAGATAATGAGCAATAAGTAAATCCCAGTCACCCTTCTTGATTTCATCATATATTTTTGAATCAACTTCTACAAGAAAAAAGTATGATAGAACTATATAAATTTAGTGGAATATCAGTAATTGAGTGTTATACCACTATCCACAGTATCTAAATCCCAAGTATGGAAGGAATACATAGAATGTGAACGAGCCCATCTTCCCGGCAAGAGTCGAGCCCATGTGTCGTCTCCGAGGAGAATTGCTTTACTACCAGATGAAACAACCTGCAAACACAATAATAGACTATAAAAGAATTCAGGAGTATAAAAAGTTGTCTTTAAAATGCTACCTGATCAATAATATTATCTTCTTGTATTTCAATAGCTGCAAAGTTTGAGCTCATATCAATAAAAGTAGGCAATGATCCAGTTATAAGGGCTTTTAATCTCTGTAGTGTAGTAGTTGGTGGATCTGCCATAAATCGGAAAATTCGGGAGCGTTTTGGCCATTTTTTCACTATTTTCTGTATAATAGGCAGTTGGTTGTGATAAAACAAAGGTTTTTCTTTATTCTCATCATATTCTGTGAAATCGTAACGGAGAGCATCCACCAATATAAAAGCCACTCTATTACGTTTCGGAGAGCATATAAGAGGAGAACTTGGTAAAGATAATATTTTCTGTATTTTTTCGTCTTCACTACACTTAGAACTCAAAGTGCTATTCTCGAGGCCATCACATCCAAAGTTATTTAAATACACGCATTCTGATACATCACTTAAAGTTTTACGAGATAATAGGAACCCTTGACCGAACATAAGAACCGCCGACAGAAGAAGGTATGAAAACCAGACTAAGTATAAAATAAAATTCCATTTTTCTTTCATTGTTATACTATTTACATTAATGAATAGGCTGGTGTCATTGATTATAATGAAACGATTACATAAAGTTAGAAACTAATTCCCATTATCACATTCCACTGAAACATCGCTATAAAACATGAAACCTGGGTTTAATTAAACACCTGTCATTTAGTCAAATTGACGTTTACCGTTGACGTTAACTATCATGTCTTAGCCACAGAATATAAAGAGATGTTGATATTTTAACAATGTGCAATTTTTTAAACTTAAAAATTATTTAATTTGTATTTTAAAAAATATATGGGTTTTTAATGTCTAATCCGAAAATTTTTAATTTTAATTTTCACGACTTGTGTCGTCTGCAGATTTTATGTCATGTCACAGTGTAATGACAATTAACAACATAACGACATTGACAGATTTTGTCTCATGGTGTGATTAGAGATATTTTGAATCAATTTTATGAAGTTAATATTAGTTTGAACTACTAATGTATGTGTGTGCGTGGACTCATGTTACGCTTCTCAATTATTTCAACCTTATCAATTGTGCCATTAAACTTAATAATTAGATCATTCTCGCAACCTACTGATCATATATTTTAGTTTGGCTTTTAGCTAGCTTGACATAATTCTTTAATGTTTTTATTTACATGAATAAGATTTTCCTTATTTAAATTCTCGATATCAAACCACCAAATCTGTATGCAGAAGGCATGATATTTATGAACCGCAAGCAATGGCTTCACCATCAAAAACTAAGGAACAAAGTAGACTTTTGGACTTATCGAGTGACGAGGAATCTGAAGACTTACAGTTAGAAATTATACCAAACAGGAAACGGAAAATTACAAGGTGAGATAAAGATCTTATTAATCATATAAATAGTAAGCAACCAAAACTAATATTTCGATAAATCTTATAGAAAATCCTATGGAAAAGATCGCCGGAATCCACAGTCAAAGTCGTCTGAACCCAGTATTGCATCTGAAGTGCAGTGTGCATTATGTTGGGCTGTCCGAGGAACATTGTTATTATGGCTGCTCATGCTGACTTGGATATGTGCATCATTATATGACCAAGTTACAACAATGAAGTTAGACATAGGATCAGGTCAGTATAATAAATTTTTGTCAAAAAATATTAGTGAAATAATTATTTACGGTCTGATAATACAGTGTTCTGATAACACTGCTAGGAAATTGATAAGTTTATATCATGTTATGCCGAATTTAGACACACTTAATTTTAACTAGAATATAAATGTATTAAATATATGTTTAAGAAACTATATGAAAAGATATTATAAATTTAATTTATATCTTGTCTGCCGGTAATCACGGTTGCTACAAAATAACCAAAACCATGGGAGTATAACGGTAAAATAATAAAAATATGCATAGTATCTACATCCGAAAATATGTGTTTTATTTAAATTAATATACTTGAAAGTCTTAGATATCAGTACATTTGATTTTGTTATATCAGTTGTAGAAAATTTTACTAATAAAGAAAAATAATCTATTGAGTGTAATGTAAATAATTTCAATTAATGTTAAATTAAACAAATCTTTTTTATTTGAAGTAATATATTTTATTATTTACATACATGGACAGATAAAAATTTTAATTGTAGCACATATATTTTAATCCATCAAAGTTCCTGATTATTTGTTTGGTTCAAAACTTTGGATGATAATACAGTTATATGTAAAATATTATTATAACATAAAAATATATTAAAGATATAAAATAATTTCTGTTTTTCATATAATAATCAAGTAATTAATTACAATTGCCAATTGTAAAATGTTATCTATGAAGAACACAAAAAAAAATTAAAACATTTTTTGTTGCTATATATTTACAAAAAAGTTTCTATTAGAAGCTGTTTGATATTGACCTTTTAAACTACAGTTATTCAATAAAAAATTAATAACAAACATTATATAAAGCAGGAAATACTTATGCTCACTGTTTGGTCAATATTTTTTTAACATGGACAATATTATTTGAATATCTTGAAGTTGTTAAGCAAGAAACCATATTAAAATTGAATTTTTAATAGGAAAGTTAGTTTGTTTGCACATACTTATGTGGATAGAGTGCGTCCGAAAACTTTTCTGACTTTCAGTTGTTATTATTCTATTATATATTAAGATTTTATTTAATTTAATATGAGCTCTATAAACCTATCAATTGTTTATAATATTTTGTTCTCTTGCATGTTTTTGATTTTCTTGGGCAGCTTAATATAATGATTGAAAACTAAAAACTAAGTGGTGGCAATATTATATTATTTGTTTTCAATTTTGTCAATTTATTTTGCAAAGAAGCACAGAAGTCGAAACTGTTAATTTATATGGGTATATACATTGGCTATACAATTATAAATCCATGTAATGCTGAGAGGTTTCATTTCATATTGAAATTCGTTTCTTAAGGGCGCCGGAGGGTCGTAAGAGCTCTCTCCAAGGGTGATTTTAAGAGACCGGAACATAGTTAAGGAATTTGAGAGGTCTTGTTCAGATAATTGTCTGTCTGAGGACTTGTAAGTCTGGGACCTCAATTTCGTCGGACAAAACAAAGTGTAACTGAAGTGCAGACCTTATTCCTCTTTGTCTGTGATTATGTTTAAGGATCCAGAATTTTTTTTGGTTGCCTCTTACAGAGCTTACTAGCTATGTATGGTTATTGAGCAAGAATTTTTAGTTATCTATTGATATCAAAATAGAAAAATAACTTTGAAACCTTCACCAAATAGGTGGCAATTATTGTAAATAAATTGTTCCTATGGAGTATGTTTTTTTTGAAAATGGTAATATATTTGGAATGTTGATTAAGGGTATAACCGTCGCGAAAAATGACGATTTTATGCCTAACAGTCACTAAATCGAATAAGAATATGTCTAAAGCATTTTTTTGGTAGACTTGTTTATTCTGTTCTTGAGTGATTTTAGAAAGCACATTTGCTAAATGTAGTTCACAAATGGTTGCTTTAATTGGCAATAAGGTTCAAGAGAAATTATTTATTTGATATGCGGCCGCTAAATCCATTGTGTCCTAAAAATTTTAAGAGTTTGGTCCTAAAATTAATATTTAGAAAATGGAAATAGTACACTAAAATTCAGTCACTGAAATTTCTAGATAACTGTTGCATAATTCATTTAACATGTATAAATGAATTTACAAATGATTTGATCAAAACAATTACCCCAACGTGTGAGAAAGCATGATCGAATCTGTACTTATTTGTATATACATACGTAAGTATGTGTCGCGTTGTTCCAAGGGCTTAAGGGCTGAGTGTACTCGAGAACATTTTACCTTTAGGTACGTGTATCTACATATCTATATATCTATATCTATGCATGCAATACGCATGCGTGGGCTGGCACTCCTAAGTGACGTCACTCACTCTTAGCGCCTCGTTCACTCAACAGTTCTCGTGTTACTCTGAATAGTGCTGCTCCTCACTTGAAAGAGGCCGTTAATTTGTAATTTATTATTGTGTAGTAAATCGTGTAGTGACAAAAATACATCGAAATACTACGTTTTCAGTTGTTCTGCCTGATTTTTACTGTTTTGTGTCGTCGTGTTTGTACATAGTAAATTAATCATTATTTAATCTTTAGCGAATGTAGTGTGTTTATTTATTTAATATATTGTTTTGCTGCGGACTTTTACACGCATGCGTGTGTTTCATTCACCGCGTCCTCTCGTCTGTAGCTGGTCGATATTTTATCTTATCTTTTAATATCTTTTTGTTCTTTTTTTCACGTTTATAACAGCTCTGTTGTATCTTAATGTAACGTTTTGAGATAATTTGATACGCATTCCGCGTTGGCTGTAGAATTTTGTTATCGAGTATTTTTGTGATTATGGCGGCAAAATTCTTTTACGTTTTGATTTAATGATTATATTCTATTTTTCAATTTATTTTGAACACAAGTATATTTTGTTTTCTGTTTCAAAGAGTATTGTTTTAAATTTTTGCTTGACACAGCCGTTGCTCTAAGGATAAAAGACTCATTACCTTCCCTTCTTTGACGAACGTGAATGCTGTGTTCCACTTTCTCCAAGCTATTGTCTACTCGAAAACATAGTATTGAAGCTTCTATCAAAATTATCTTGCTCATATACGAGTTATTATTTCAAGTTGAGCATTTATTATGAAATATATGACATTTTCTTAGAATATGGTCAGTAGTTTAGGTTAAAGATATAAATATATGTAAATATTTGCATATATATATGCTTATTCGTATATTGGAAGTGCTTTTCCTATTGCCCACGTTCTGCATAAAGACTGCATAAGCTCACAAGGCAAATTGAATTCTTTCAATGTTTTTCCCTTAAAAATATTAATTATTATAAAACTTGAAAATTTATATTTAATACTTTTTACGTAAATGAGTAAGCGATATACATTCTTCCAAAATATTATCATTCTGATTGTTTCGTTAAAAAATAATTCTTAAAACTGACAAATCTAAAATAACTCAAGGAACACGTGAAGTATTTGTATAGTTTTTAATGTGATTAGAAATAAACTAAATAGCTTTAAAGGTTGCAATAAATTATATGGAAAATTACCTCAATATACATAAGTGTCCTTAAAATAATTTAGGAAACTAAAATGTTAAAATGAACTTCGATCAAGGTTGACTAAAAGTGATCTCAAAGTCGAATCGTTTTTTAACCATTCCGACTGCTTGCGTTCTAAGTATGAGAATGTACTACCAGTTATTTAACTGAATACCGTCAGTTACGATGTATTTTAAACAAAATTAACTCTGCTATTCGAATTTATTGTACTTAAGAAGAATTCTAACAAAGTATCGTAAACTTTGATATAATTTATTTTAAATTAACGAGAATTTAATGAAATAATATGATTAAAGGAAAATGTATTTTTGGTATTAAACATTTTGACAATTCGTTTCGTTAGTGACATAAAGACATTCCGTTACGGGCACCTTGACCCCGTTCCGTTATTTAAATTATTAATTCGATTCAATCGTTATAAAGTACTTTTATTGCTATCATAAATTTACTGAAGCGTTTTAAGGGTTGCGTCTTTACCCGACCGAAGCCAAAAAAGTTTGATTACATAAACCATATATTTATAGTCTATGTAATAACAATAATATTATAATTAATTTAATTTGATTCTATATATTTATATACCAGGCAAAACATCTGAAAACGTTTAACATTTTAAGCTGGTGAATTTGTGTTTGTTTGAAAGTTGATTCATTCGTTAAGGGAAACTCGTGTTGTGTGGTTGTGTTGTGACGAATGGACTTACGGTAGCGTTTGGGAATTATGGAGAACGCCGTGCGGACGGTGGGGCCGCTGAGGGTAGGGAAGAAGATGAGGAAGAGGAGGGAGTTGGACGCTCTGGTGGGAGGTCCGGGGAATAGAGGAGGGAGGTTACTGTCCGCCTCAAGCGACGAAGGAGAGCCCTGGGGTCGTAGGGCTTCGAGGCGGCCCAGATCGAGGCCGTTCATACGTCTAGCAGCCGCTCTAGCGTTTTGTGTGTGCGTTGTATCCGCAGCGACTGTTTTATGGCTATTCGTTGATGTTAGGAGGCAGATAGTCTCGCTTCGTATAGAAATGGACAGAGGTTTGTTTCTTAAACTCCCTTTAACATATAATATCGTCCATTTATAAATATAAGTTTCTTGTACGTTGAGTGACCTCGAGTTTTCGTAGAGGTCAGACACTGTCTTTATTGGATATGGTCAATGCAGTTCACTCCAGTCGCAATGAAGCTTGTATATTTTTGCATAAATTACTCATTCAACGAGATGTCAATAGGTCATATAAAAAGTTAAACGGAAACAATGTTTAATTAACATTATAAACTACTAGTTGACAAACACGATGATTAAGTTCAATACTTTATTTATATTTTATAAGAATTTTATTTTTATTTATATGTTTAAGAGTTTATCAAACTTTATCTTAAATGTGTTAGCATCTTTAAGGTCAATGCCCAGCGTGCAGATTCGATCGATAAAGCCAATTTATGTTGACACTTAAAAGCTTTGACCCTTAAATCGACTTACGACTGCGTATTAAAATGTTTATCTCAAAGTATTTAAATATATTATTTCGATCGTACAGTATCGTCTAGCAGCGCCAGTGTCAGTGATTCGCTGCAGATATGTCACACAGCTGCTAAAGAATTGAAAGCCAATGCGACAGAATTGACCACGAGGCTGTCCAAACTGGAGAAGGATCACCAGGAACTGGCTCTAAGGATGGAACAAGCTACAAAGGAACTAGCCTTCGTATCAGACCAACTATCAGCTGCACCAAAACTTGCAGACACTCCAAGAAGACTCGCGGAACTACAAAGAACAGTCGCAGACTTTGGATCACAGGTATACTCATCTTTTCTTAATATCCTGGACTTACAATTTCCAATTATAAGTTTGAAATCACCAACCCGTCTTGAGCAATCGTGGTGATTAATGCTCAAACCTTCTCCATGTAAGAAGAGGCCTTTCAGCAGTGGGCTATGATTGGCTGATGATGATGAATATCCTATTTAAAAGTTTAAACCAATTTTTTTTTATGTTGCCATTAAAACTAAATGTGTTCGGAATTTACGTGATAGTTCTATTTTGTTTGTAACTCAATAAGAACAGATGTTGCTCGTTCTTTCGATACGTGCATATTCTAGATGATCGATTTAAATATAAAGATATATTGATGTTCTTTTTAAAGATATATCTTAAAATTACTGATACTTTTCTGGAACCTTTGTTAGTACTATAAAATTTAAATGAAACTAATATTTTCGATAGCATTATTTTATTATTATAACTACATACTCAGTACTCTTCAGCTTTCAATACCAACTGACAGACATTCTCAACTCCTGCTCGTAATAACGGTTGTTGCAAAGTAACCGAAACGTAAAAATAAAAACAAATGTGTAAGACATCCGAAAATATTACTTTCATTTAAATGACTATCACAAAAGTCTTAGATCTCATTACTAACAAATATAATATACGCCATTGAGTACATTTATACCTAATTATTTTCCAGATTAAAGGCTTCGATAGTGCGTTGGCGTCAGCTAAGAAGCAAGCCGTCACCGCTTCATCGGGAGTTGAGGAAGTGAAGAATATTCTTCACGAGCTGGAGACACGGAGTAATGATACGATAGCTAATATGACGACCAGCTTTAAAATGGAGGAAGAACTGAAGAATCAACTGACGACGTTAAATAACACGCTGTTCAATAGAATATATGATATAGAGAATAAAGTTAGGGATATTAATGTAAGTACTTCATATAATAGTATATATATAAGATCAACACAAAAAGTTATATATAACTAGCTCCGCCCCGCGGTGTTACCCGCGGATTTCCGGGATGTAAAGTAGCCTATGTGTCATTCCTGGACGTCAGCTTCCTGTATATAAAATTTTATAAAAATCGGTTCAGCCGTTTGAGCGTGAAGAAGTAACAAACATACACACACTCACAAACTTTCGCAATTATAATATTAGTAGAATTACTATATACATAAGTCAGTGAATATCCCAAACCTAATCTATTTGGTTAACAAATTAATATAATCCTTAGTCTGAGTCTACTTATTATATAATACATAGTTTAAATGTATTACATAAATATTATATGTGTTACAGAAGCCATTGAGTACAGTGGCCACTATCACAACTCAGCCCATAGTCAACGCTACCAAGATAACTAATACTACTGAGACACAAGGTATGTACATACATCTCATATATATATATATATATATATATATATATATATATATATATATAAACTAAATATGTATAAGACTCTGCAATACGTTCGGAAACAAGATATGATTTTGTTATTTGTAAAAACTGTAACAGAATGTTAACAAATCATACGAATAATTAATTATCTCTATAAACTGAATGTTCCTAAATGTTATATAAAAGTACATTCAATTATAGATTCTTAATTATATTAAGATAAAATTCAAAGAGTATATACATATATGTTGAATAGTAATTAGGAAGTAGTGAAGGTCCGTATAAATGACTGTTTTTCTTCCGCGAGGATGTAAAGGGCATCTCAAGGCGACAACGCTTTTTAAAACTCTCGTATAAATTACGTTTATCAGGAAAATATATACGATACATGCCTATTTGTATTCAGTAACGTGTCAGTTTTTGCAAAGCATTTGTACTGTTTTGAATTTTAATTGTATTATTATAGAAATGGCATAATTTCGTATTTGTGTTTCCTTAAATCATGTTGATAAAGAATCTTTATAAAATAAATAGCCTTTAAGAAATTCCACTTTATTTGTTATGACATACTCCATAATATTTTCTTCGCAAGGTATTCAAAATAATTATTCCTATCGAATTATAACATGAGTAAATATTTTGACATTGGCATAATACATATTTCAAAATTCCAGTGTTAAGAAAGCCATAGCATACACAAAAAAAATTCGTCAAATGTCATAATGACGTATGTCAGATGTCAAGGTGACAGATGTATAATTAATCCGTTTTTTTATCTGTCCAGGACCAGCGAAACCGTTTGTGCTGCATTGAAGATTATAATGAATATAAATAAGGTTTGCTCACAAACAACGTCCACACGACAAATATTTGTACCAGAATGTTTATGAAACATTCATATATATATTTATATTCATATTATAAACAACATATATATGAAACAGAGTACCCTCCACGATAGATGAAATAAGGTAAAACGTATTTTTGTGAATAAGGACTTTTTGCATCAATACTATATTGATTCCGACATTTAGAGATTTCTATTAAGTTTATTATATAAATTATAAAGGATAGTTTCAACGACAAAGATCTCAAGATTTAAATCGGTTTACAACTAACAAACCCATATTTACTTTTGTATTATAAAATCACATTAATTTTACTATTTAGCACTCGTTTGTATTAAATTTGATTTCGGCGTGAATATACCAATATATATGTATTATAAAAATATTACATAAAAATTACAGCGGTTTAAAAGACGTCGAGTGTACGACCGCCTTAACGCAATAAGTGGAAGTGAGTCTTTGATTAATGTAAATAAATTATTATTATTTTGTAGAATATGATAAATTTTATTTTTTAATGTGAATGTAGAGAGGTTTACGTACACACTGTGTGTTACCAAGATGTCGATAAGTGTGAGTGTTGTTACTGTAATAAATTATTGTTAATAAATTAAATATTATTACACAACATTTGTTTCATTTCATATAGAACAAAGGAATGTTAGAATAACAAAGGGAAAGATAATATCATTATATAAAATTTATTTATTTATAATGTATTTACAAACGGATATAAAAATTTATATATTCATGACGCACCAGTAATATACAAAATGGAGACAATTAACAATTTTTAATCTGTGACATAATCTCAAACATTATACAAACATAAACAAATATTTGACAAAAGTTTGCTGTTTTAATAATAAAGATAACATTTTTACAATATATGTATTCATTTGTTAATAATGCCAATGTTCTGTGCGACGTGTTTGAACGCGTCAATGGCCCGCGTGACGTCATCACTCGTGTGAGCCGCTGACAGCTGTACGCGGACCCGCGCGCCCCCTCGCGGCACCACGGGGTAACTGAACGCTACTACGTAGATACCGCGCTCTGGAAATATATATGCAGATGTAATATAAATACATTAACATTACATTTAATTTGAATCGAACCTTTGAATTCCCGAACGAACCCGAAGTGATGTTAAACCGATGACGTTTGTTTTGTTTACTTTTACGCGGGAAAGTATTTTGTCGACGCGACTTGTTTCTTTGTAAATTGAATTTAATTTAAAGATGTTTTGGTTTAAGATTAATTCGTTTGTTCGGGTGAAGGTTTGATTTGTTATTTAAAAGTACTGGTCTTATAACAAAAGTATATTTTAATGATTTTTGTTAGAGTTCTAAACATACATATATATTTTTTACATTTGTCGTCTGTCTGTCAGCTCTTATTGCCTGATAATGTGATAAGAATTAACTTAGTATATTCATCTTTAGAAGTTTTATTTATTTTCATTGAAGTGTATAAAAAAATGATGACTATTCATTACAATAAAAACTGCCTGCTAAGCTGTATTATATGTATTATAAATACGATATCAACTGAGTTCATATTTGGATTTCAATCTTGGATTCTTCCAAGTTATTTCAAAAAACTGGAAACTGTCAATTGGCCTTTGCGAAATTGATCAAAGTATCACTTGATTTTAAAAAAAATGGGAATTAATCATTTTCATGACTTTAAAATTGCAACACTGCACAAAGTAACGCTTAATTGGGCCAGACTTCAGAGCAGTCTTATTTCTGAACATCTTACCTAACATCCCAGCCGCTAGCTCCACAGCTAAAGCCGCATCTCCAACCATCACGGGGCAGATCGGATGTTCATCCCCGGACACCTTCAGACCTACACCCTTCAGACCCTCGCGGAACTGGCGCGTGTTCTCACGGAGACGGCGCCGGAGATCAGAACTAGTCTCCACTAATTCTAGGGACTGAGGAATTATTAAAGAAACATAGTATATTTGTTCGTACGCAATATTCTACATGTGTGTGCGTATATGTATACGTGACTTAATGTATGTAATTGCTTGTCTGTTAGTGTGAGTTAATAAAGAAACATGGTCTGTCATGCTGATATGTCTATTTGTATTTTGTTGGTACGCAATATTCTACATGTGTGTGTGCGTATATGTATACGTGACTTAATGTGTGCATATGCTTCGTTACCGTGTATGAGTTCAAAAAGAAACATGTTCATGTCCGACTGATATGTTTATTTGTATTTTGTTCTACATATGTGTGTGTGCGTACATAATAGACTTTAAATGTGTGCTATGCTTGCGTGTTCGTGTGTGTGTGTGACTTAATATGTACCCACCTTCATTGAAGCAGCGACTACAGGCGGTGGCGGTGAATTTGAAAATAAGTAAGGTCTGGAGACATTTCTGAGTAAAGTGATGAGTTCTTTTGGCCCGGTGGTGTAGCCCCCGGCGGCCCCACTAACCGCTTTACCCAGCGTCGAGCAGATGATATCCGCCGCGCCCAAAACGCCGCAGTACTCTTCTGTACCTCTGATTGAATGGAATTATTTATCTATATACAACAGCCTTTACCAAACTGGTTGATGAAGTCTCCTTGTGGGTTGCGACCCTAAATATATGTGGTATGAGAAAAATAACAGCGATTTGTAGAGACTTGATGCGTGATTTGTGATTTCATTTAGCTAGAATAGGTTATAGTGGTTTTTCGGCCAAGTTCCAGCAACAGGCCGCGCGCATGCCGTGCACTATTTACACGAACCGTTTCGACCCACTTTTGACCCCCCTGTAGCTCAGTGCCTATTGCAGGTACAGAGATAAAATTGTACCTACGTAATCATACAGGGTGACTGGTGAATTACTATCGATATTTGAGGACGTGGTAGTTGACGATCATATATGACAAAATAAAAATTAATATAACATAAATATTAATAAACTTCTAAGTAAAGTTAACCAAAAGTTATGTCATTAATTACGTATCGTGTGAACACCCTACAGATTAGGTATACACTCACACTCACACATACGCGGACGGCGGCGTAGTGTTCTATCAGCACGCCGCCGCACGCGTCCACACTAGGAACACTTGGAACGTGTCAACACTTTATTTATTTATACGGAAATTTTGTCAAAAATTAAGTACCTATTTTTTTTACATAATTCGAATGAGAATCATGTACCGAGTATTCTCCTTAAATATTGATAGTAATTCACCAGTCACCCTGTATACATATAGGCGCTCAGCTCATCACAATGAAATACATTATAATGAAATATTAATAATTAATAATATGACTACATCTATCAATCGGTGATAAATGAAACTAAAAAATAAATATAGTTTAAAAAAAAACTAATAACACGCTCCAATGATGAAAGAAACCGCGTGGAAACTAATTTAACCTTTACAACCTTGGAAATCAATTTAATTTAAATTGTTTAAAATAAACAATAAATGGTATTATTGAAAAAAAACTAAGGCGGTTCTCAAGAACTGATATATGAAGCTCCCCACGCTTTTTTTCACAAAAATACCATTTATTGTTTGTTAATTTATTTTTAAATTAATATTATTGTGAAAAAAGTGTGGAGCGCTTTATCTAATTTAATTATATTAATAATAAATTAATAATACAATTAATTAAGTGTTACGTACAGCACGAAAACCTGCCAAGTTCAAATTTAGAAGTATTATAATTTTAGATATTTTTAACCAAGCACCTACGTATTTTCACAACTATACCATATTTTAAGTTGGGTGTATGGTAAAGTGAATTTCGGCCAGATGGACCGTTGACGTGAATAAGGTGGCGGGTAGTGGCTGGATGTGGAAGGCAGAGGACTGGGTGTGGTGGCGAGTCTTGGGAATGGCAAATGTTTACCAGTGGATCATTCTGTTGATTAAGATGATTATGATCGATTTCAAAGTGCATCTAAACTTGGCATTAGATTGGATTTCAACCCTTTTTTAGGCAAACAATTAGCCGATTGGAACTTGGCCCCCTTTTTAACAGGCATGTTTTTGGTGAGATAACATTTACTTGGAATGGTTATGGTTATTTATTGTTATCTAAAATCTAATGTAATGGTTATCTATTCTCAAAGAGGGTTGATGTCAGGCAGGCGGCCGGTCGTAAAAACAATTAGCCAAAACTATTCATTTTACAAGAGAATTCACTGCAATATCAGTTTTTCAAATGTAATATTTTTTGTGTTTATGAATTTGCACACTTTTTTTAATGATGATGTAATATTTCAAGCTTTCTCTTCTTTAGAAGCTTTTTGTATGAAGTATATACACTGCAGTAGTATATATACTGTACAGTCTGCAGTTTACACGATACACAATACAGTCTACAGTTTACACGATACACGTTACAGTCTGCAGTTTACACGATACAGTTTGCCGTTTACACGATACAAGATACAGTTTGCAGTTTACACGATACAGTTTGCTGTTTACACGATACACGATACAGTTTGCAGTTTACACGATGCAGTTTGCCGTTTACACGATACAGTTTGCAGTTTACACGATACAATATATAATACAACATACGAATATAAATATAAAATATAAGTCCATCAAAAATGTATAATTAATGGAAGTACAAAGTATGATGCGTCTCTTAATTTTTAAAGTCGTTGTCTCTTAAAATTAATATTATCATCTGGCATATAAACGCAACAGATCCCAGCAATGAATATTTTAAATATTTAAGATATGAAAAGTTCTTTTACGGCATTTTAGAACTTTACGTTTATTCTATTTACTTTGAATTCACTGTACTTTTTTACTTCACTCATTATTGATTTCTCTGAACGAGAGCTTCTGTTTCACCGAAATATCAGGATATTGTTGTTATAATCTGACGATATTATCAGAAGCGTAATATATAGGTACATAGGATATTTTGGTACTAAAAACAATTACTAGAAGACAAATTGTATAAGATGTCATATACTCAATATGCTTTATAACATAGATTTGAATTATGTACCGCGTACATTTTCAACACATAATTTTCATTAAGTTCATCGTGAGAAAGTGATATAAATACATTTACTAACGAAATCATAAGTCTACTAAGTATGTGTGTTAAAAGATACATCGCAAAAAAGTAGCAATATAATAGAACTAAGAAATCAAACGATTTCTTCCAAAAAATATCTTAAATAACCCACCTGCCAGTTTCCCCGAAAAATCCAGTAGCATGACTATCATCTATAGCTAGTAATGCTCTGTACTTATCAGCCAAGTCTCGTAATCCTTTAATAGGGGCGACTGTACCGTCCATAGAGAAAACTCCATCAGTCACTATCAGTTTAAGTCTTGCTTCGCTATGAGCCAGAAGGTGTTCTAATTCTGTAATATATAAAACTATCTATTACTCTGAGTTCAATGACCTCTATTTTGTCAAGCATCATAAATATGAACCATTGGATTTGGCATATTCAATTATATCTTTAATTCACATTAAAAATAGCACCAAAATCCTAAGATGTTTGTTTTGTGAAATCATCGTGTTTATAGAAGCAATTTAAGATCCTACATTTAAGTTATATAAAACAAATTAATCAACAAATATGGTTTTCGTGTTATAAAACAACCTTAATACAAAAAAACACAAAGCTCTTTTCATATTATTCGGTTATTATACAAAATTTTCGTATACCTTTAAGATCTCTGTGCGGATATCTAAACTTTTGTGCCTTGCACAATCTAATGCCGTCGATGATTGACGCGTGGTTCAAAGCGTCTGAGAACACAGCATCTTCAGGAGTGAGCATCGACTCAAACAGACCAGCGTTAGCATCGAAACAGGAGATATATAGTATAGCGTCTTCTCTACCGTGGAATTTAGCCAGGCGATTCTCCAATTCCTAGTTGTTTCCATGTTAAACCAAACAAACACATTATTATGCGACGTTTGGAAAAAGTATTTCTATTACGAATACTGTTTAAGCGTTTTAATCAACCCTTAAGATAATTTAAAAATGTATATATTTTAAATTTTCTATAAGCTTATTCTATCTAATTTATAATAGATATAAGTAACTAAGTAAAGTAAAAATAAAATTATAAACTAGTAGTTATTTTACTGTTATCTGTTTAAAATACATATATTGAGTACAATAAATCCAACAAAAAATGATCGTATATTTTTATGAATAATTTTAATTATATCAAAGTTATTTAAATCTGTTACCTTATGAATAGTTTGAGTTCCACAAATAAATCGTACTGAACTAAGACCTGCTCCGTATTTACTTAAAGCTTCTCGCGATGCTTCTACTACCTCGGGATGGTTCTGGAACGAAGGTAATTAATATTCAATCAAAAAGCTAAATATTATATTGTTACAAATGGCGCCATCCGTGCCCTACTAATTATAAAATATTATAATCCTTAGAATTATGTTTATGACTGATTAGACTTAATTATAATACTGAACCATTGCACTTTTGTAGTGGCAACATTCAAGTATCAACATATATTTGAAAACTATAAATACTGGCTTCAGTAATTTTGTAGGACATTACTGGAAGTAAAACTGAACAATAAAAAACAAGACTGAAACTGTACCTACATCAAAATATATCCTAAAATTGTATTGTGCTATTTTTAATTTTAGCAATCATAGGAAGATATTGTTTTTAGGGATGACTGTAATAAGTAATATTGTTATTAGACTTTTAAAAATTTAATTCAAGTTACTTACAGACAGACCGAGATAATTATTAGCACAGAAATTCAAAAACTCCCCCTGTGCTCCTTGCACCTTCACCTGAAACGGAAAAAACACTCATAAGAAAAAAATATTCAAATTATCGCTTTACTTTGTGTCTGTAATTCTTAAAAATGTAGCATTGTTACATTTAAGAAGTTTATTATTCAGAGATAACAGAATGTCGTTTACATTTTCTTATTTTTACAATGCCTTCTTCGTTATGAATACAAAATTATTATTCACAAAAAATGTGATAAGGTTTTTGACTTGAAAACAAAGTAATCTTAAGACAAGTCGCTGACGTATTTAATCCTCACAATTTTACAAATTAAAAGAAAAATCATACAATGAGATTTTTTCTTGGGATAGATCATAGAAAGAAAGGTTTTTATGATAATATTGTAGGATAAAAACGAATAAAACAATTTTAAGATGGGTCTTTCCCTTATAAACATACTATTCTTTTACTTATCTCAAACATAATTCCGTTAATAGTACCTTTGTATCCTGAGGTGACGTCAATATTCTCTCATGTTTCCATGTCTTAGCTCTCTTTATTTCTTGAAGTCTATCTTCAAGTACCTCTCGAAGTTTAGTCACCCCTGCCCTTTCTTTCACATTGAACGCATGAAGCTGCCGAAATTGTTGACCTCTGAACACTATGAGACAAACGATTAATATGCTCGTAAAATAAATAATGTATTTGATTTGCACTATATTATTTCAATGAAATACGAAAATTAAAACTTCCAGAACTTTCTGAAGTATTTGAAAGTGAAATATTAAACAATTATTAGAATGTAAACTTATATAACAATCTTGTAATCAGGTAAATATAATTATGACTGTAGAATATAATTGCTTATTAGTTTACATTTCTATAAAAATATGTTGCAATCTTTAGAAAAATAACAACAAATATAGATATAGTTCGATTTAATGTAAAATCCATAAACCAAACTGTCAAATAAGTGTTAATATCACGCAAAATGCTAAATAACCAAGGCGACTTATTACTTATGAAGAAATTAACTTAATTTTAAACATGTTTCGTAAAATATACGTATTTAACACTCAAAGAGTTTTGCTAGAGCGCTATCATAAGGGCGTCACCAAGGCTTAAACATATCGGCTTGTGTTTACAAAGCTGACGACCTTAATAGGAAAACCACAAACAGAATAAGATAAAGAAAATTTAGATGCAATAAACTTTATAGAAAGCAATATTGTGTGAGTTTTGATGTATTTATTATAATAATTAAAACCTAACGTACCTATGCGCAGGAGTTTAGGTCGTAAGGCCATCTCGTCGACTGTCGAAGTGACCGTATTTTGCCGGCTTCTTAAACCAGTCACGCAAGTTTCTGTTTACAATTCAGTTGTGATTCAGGTCTGCAAGCTGATATTTACATCTAAATGTTGTTTGAGACCAAATTATTCGACGTTCTCAAGGTCATCTGTTATCACGTCAGCTAATACACTTATAGGGGATTGGGTGTTATTCGTTCATATTGATTAAAAGTTGCATTATTGAGAGAAAATGTTCATTAGTTTTTGCCGCGAAATGTTTGAAATATGAAAATTACTGAAATGCATTTGTTTTAGTGTCACAATGCAGATTGTTGTCAACGACCTTTTATGAAAGGAATCGATATATTTTGAGAGTTTATTTTAAAACAATGAATATAATTATTACTGTTTATTATTTTATTTAAACATCATTATCAAAACGAAAGAAATTCGATTCTTTCTGTAGTACAATTCCACTCCAATGTATTGTTACAAGTGGCGCTATCCGTGCCGTACTAATTATAATCTTCAGAGTCATTTTTATGACTGATTATTATAATTAATTATTATAATACTGAACCATTGTAATCTTGTAATGGCAACATTAAGGTATCACCTTGTGTTTGAAAACTATAATTACTGGCTTCAGCCATTTTGTAACACATTACTGGAAGTAACGCTGAACATTAAAGATCAAGTCTGAAACTGTGTCTTGAATATACAGGGTGACTGGTGAATTATTATCGATATTTGAGGACGTGATATTTGACGATCATATATGACAAAATAAAAATTAATATAACATAAATATTAATAAACTTCTAAGTAAAGTTAACCAAAAGTTATGTAATTAATTACGCATCGTATGAACACCCTACAGATTAGGTATACACACACACACACACATACGCGCGCGGCGGCGTGTTGTTGTATCAGCACGCCGCCGCACGCGTTCACACTTGGAACACTTGGAACGTGTACACACTTTATTTATTTATACGGAAATTTGGTAAAAAATTAAGTGCCTATTTTTTTTACATAATTCGAATGAGAATCATGTACCGAGTATGCTCCTTAAATATTGATAGTAATTCACCAGTCACCCTGTATATATATTACATTTATAGTGTACATACCCTTCAATGTTGCCACATATGCAGGCTGCCATATTTGGATATCATTTCAATATTTTTACTTGAATTGCGTAAATTTTTGTGCCATTTCGATACAAGCAGGTTTTTTTTACAATCGACCTATAATACTAAATTACAGACTTAGCTTATATTATAAAGCCAAAAGGCATATTTATTATATTAAAATGGGTTTGTTAAGAAAAACGTTAGTATTATTTTAAAAAATATTTATTAAATTTTAATCAAAATTGAATGAAGTATGTTTAGGTTTCATTAAATCGTCCTTCTGGTGTAGTTTTTATAATCGACTCTGAAATTAAATAAAAACAATTATAAGAATTTAAATACGTCATGAAATAAAAAAATAAATATAATGAAGAAAGAAATGAAGTTATTAAATGAATGGTTTTCCATTGTTGTCATGTGTCAGACACGCAAACCCTGAGCGGCCAGAATGTATATCTTTTATCCATTCAGTTGAATTCGATTACAAAATGTATTACACTGAAAATTACAAAGGCCGATCTTGGGTGACAGCTGTCATCAAATTGTAGGTACTAAATATTTTTTGATGAGTCGAATGTTTTCTTTAAGTTTAAAATATTAAAAGAGTGTTAAGAAACTTAATAATGATTTTTTACCTCTGGTCCAACATGTATGGCCATCATGATGTCGTACTCATTGTTGCCGAGTATAATGTTAGCGCGACCGTTACTATCCACATTCACTGTTTTACCACGACAGGAGTTGTTCACTTTATCTCCCGAGATCACGTCGCAGTAAGTACCAGCTGGCAGACAGGTCTGAAGGGGTCATAGTTTTATCATATCAACTCTTTATAAATATAAAATACGCTGTATATATTTTTCTTACCATAGCCTACCTGTAAATTCTGATTTAAACTCCAGTTGTCATTATTAAAAGCGATAAAAGCCCTATTTCCGCGACAGAAAGCGATTTGGTTTGAGCCGTTGTCCCACCAATCGTTGATGCCAGTGTTGCCAGCCGCGTTCCTGAATCCCACCATCGCGTAGATCTGTCTCCAACGGTGCTGACAGACCCAGCCGTTGCCGCAAGATCCATCCTGATTTATAACATAAAATAGCAGATTATAATCAGAAAGTACTTGGGACTGGCAATACTTTTCTGTATAATTGATTGCATATGTTGTAATCGGTTATTTTTTATGTTTTTCGTCCGTATTTTTCCTCTATCTTTTATCTTTCCTCTAATCAATCGCTTCCACTTAGGATATTAGTTAAATTTTATGTTTACACTCACGGAATTGATTGAAGGTGATATAATATTCTGGTTATAGTCCATCGGTGGTCCAACTTCGGAGTCCAAGAAGTGAAAACTGCTCATTATCTGTGGTTCACCATATGGATGGGCTAAGAGGAATGCTATAGCCGCCTTGTACGCTCGTGGCTCCTTGTACGTTAATAACCCCCCACCGCCTCCATGACCTCTTTCATTATCATGGTTATCAATAAACGTTAAAGCGTCACCATTAGCTAGCAAACCCCATTGCGGACCCCAAGTAGAGAGCCATCTCAGTTGATTGTTTCTTCTGAAGGCATTACTTAGTTCCAAACCAGCTTTGAATTCGGTCACAGCTCCTATGGGTGTGTATTCGTCCCTACTGACTGCCTCACCACCGTAGTCAATCACCTCCTGGTATATATATGGACGGGAGTTGGGAGCGAAGCCGTGGTCAGTGTTCAGATTGTGGAGTCTGCTGAAAATGACTCGCATGTCTTCCGGCCACATGTGTTTGGCTGCGTCGATTCTGATGACGAAAATAACAAACAAATAACAAATAATAAAAAATAAATAATAACAAATAATAAAAAATTTGAAAATGTTTATGTATGCTTTTTAATGACAGCAATAATCCTTGGTAAAACTAACCAGATAAGCAGTATCATATTTATAGAAATATTCCTAAATATCTTTATTCACTTTACAGAAATACAATTATGTTATAGGAAATGAAATCGAATGAAGTTTATCTTTACATATAATTCGCTCTTGTCATTAAATATATTTAAAATGTCAAACCTGAATCCAGCCACACCAAGGCTTATGAGTTTGTTCATATAATTGACTATCATTTGTCTGACGTGTTCGTTACTCTGATCCAAATCCTTCAGACCAACCAGTTCACAGTTGCGAACCTTTAACAAAGTACATGATAAACCCATCAAGCCAATTCATTTGAAATCTTTCATAGCAAACTGCAATTTTGCTTTTAAAAAGACAAATCAATCAGTCCACTAATATAAATAAAAATCTTCTTAAAGATACGTGAGTAGTTTTGTTATATACGCAAAATCTACCAATTTTTTTTAAGAATTAACATAATACACCTTTCGTACGAGTACGAGAATGGTAGAGATTAGCTTGGACAGTGGAGGTGAGAGTCTAATGCTTTGGATAGGGGCCCCTTTAACCTACACCTGGGTCATAGGTCCCAGGCACTGTTGAAGCTCCTCTCACTACAACGATGAACCCGGCACCCGCATGATGAATCCATTGAATGCTGAGAGGTTTCGTCTCTACATATCCTGCTAATATTATAATTGCGAAAGAATGTGAGTGTGTGTTTATGTTTGTTACTTCTTCACGCTCAAACAGCTGAACCGATTTTGATAAAATTTTGTATACAGGAAGCTGACGTCCAGGAATAACACATAGGCTAGTTTACAACCCGGAAATCCGCGGGTAACACCGCGGGGCGCAGCTAGTAAATTAATAATTTAAACCTACCCTCCACGCGTTGTTATTATAGTCTTCTCCATTAATGCCGCACGGTGGCCAGTTAAAGTGATCCCTGGTGTAAGGCACAGCTGGGTAGTACCAATCACGGAATACGGCGGTACTGCCCCCTGTTCCTACATTCTCCACTGGCTCTCCTGTCATGTGGTTGATGACGGCGTCCACGTAAATCCTAATAACCATTCAGTTTAATTACTCTATAACTCCATTAATTAATTTCTATCTTTACTGCATAGCATTCTTTTAAACTCCATTTATAGATAATTAAGAAGAGATAAAAACTCTAAGTTACTTTAGAATAAATAGCCTTTACGTAGTGAAAAAGAATTTTATTGCGCTATTGTTTGTCGCTTAAAACTTTGTGGATACAATTTTTTTTTTACTATTCTAGTGTTGCTGATGTTACATATTATATTCATTATCGCTGTTTTTCTTTATTTTAATTATTTATCCTTTATTTTATTCATAAAATTTATTTTTAATCCAACGAAATAAATGATCTATGTAACAAATATTTTCTGAGCCTAATGTATGGCATGGCATATTTCACTATTGAGATATAGTTAAATAATTAATCTTTGCATCATAAAATACACATAATATATTTTATCTCCTCGTTCTTTTTTATACAAACTCTAAAAGACTACAACACCATTTCAATGTAAACATTCGAAAAAAGAAACGATTTCTTAGACCATTGAGCTCAACGAAATTACGTGAAAACTGATTACAAAAAATTAACTTGTTATTGTCAAGCAAAATCAATTATACCTATAATATATTATTTATAATCCTTATAAAGATCTATTTATATATTATTTTATCTGTTTTTATATTATCTATAATAAGTATTAATTTATTTTTTTATTTAATTGACATAAAATAATTAAGTACAATGACTTATCTTAAGAATTATTGAAGTATTTAAACTAAAAACAAAGAAATATTGAATTTACCTAACTCCAGCCGCGTTACAGCGTCTGACCATGTTTTTAAACTGTTCTTCATTACCAGATCTTGTCACCAATTTATATGACATTGACTGATACCGCTCCCACCAGGGCCGATTATTATTACGAAGAACTACGTTCTCATTTGGCGGTGATACCTACAAATGTTCATGGGTTTTGACATCTATACTCTTCAAATATCTAGTTAATTTGGACAGAAATTTTGGACGTTCCATACCTGAATACCTCCGAATCCTTTAGGTCCTAAAAACCGTTCACATTCAGCCGCGATGTCATCCCATTTCCATTCAAACAAATGAACGTTGACAGATCTATTCGGAGCATAGTGTGGGTTCTTATAAGCATTTAATCCACTTGCCAATGCTAATAACACTAGAATTGGTAACGCCGCCTAGAATTAGAATAAAAATTACAAAAAAAATAATTAATGATCTCAACTATTAGTAAAATTAATAGGGATATGCAATATTATGGGGATGTGGAATATTCAATTTGAAAATATATTTTTTTAACGAATAAGAACATATACGTACTTACCATAATAAATGCACATTACGATAAACAAAATAATTGCCCACCAACCGAGTTGAAATTGCAAAACATCTAATCTTTATGATAATAAATATCACGGATTAAAAAATTAAGCAGTGTTAAAAGCGATATGAAATCTACATAATGAAACATTTATATTTACAAAAAATATTGTTCGCTTTGACTTTGTTATAATTATATAATCATTTTGCAATTTTATAATTACAAAAATATCGTAATAGTCAATTTCAAATACAAACTTTATTATTTTCCCTCATAATAATTAATATATAAGGTTCTTCTAAGTTAAGTATAATGTACCTAATGAAAGAAGGACTTCAAACACTTTTTGTAAAATGCTAAAAACCTAAGAGAAAACATTCCTAATTTGAGATAATTTATTAGTTAAATAAAACGTCTCCAAGAAATAATTCTGTTTTGTTAGCAAGTTAGAATTAGTAATAAATAACCAACTTAAAACAAAAACTTTGTTAAACTTAAAACTTTTACATTTCATATTTTGTTTTAAATATTTATGAACTATTTCAGAATTTATCTGTAAATATTAAAACAATATCTATATAAAGCCAAAAACTTCGCAAAGCCTGCAGGGTATTTTATCTTATTATTTTAATCCTGTGATTTTTTACAAGCAATTAACTTTATCCTTAATATTGCTCAATATTTTTAAATCAATTCAAATCAAAATATAAATATTCTTTCTCGTTTATGCTTGGATTCATAAAGACTGTAAAGTGGCATATTTTGCTTTTAACTTTTTAATAAAAAATATTTATAATGATAACAAAACAAAAGTTTATCATTCAATCTAATTCATTCTTCACTCTATGTTGTCTATGGTGTATAAATCGCAAGCGCATCTTTCACGCCTATTCCTAATGTCATGTCAGATTATATATGGCTCATAACAGAACTTGTTTGTGAACAACGAGAATAAGATCACTTGGTTGTCCATTTTTGCTTTACACTTTATTAGTTTTTCTAACTGTGAGTGCGTATTAGTGATAAGTAAAACCGGACAAAGTATTTCACACACATTTGTTGAGAATCGCGTTAATTAATAAATTACTGACAAAAAAATATGACTAAATGATATTTTTGTTGTACAACTGAATTATAATTTTGTAATAAGTGAAGTGCTTTATTATTATATTGAAAATGTCTTATAAAATCATTATTATTTTATCATTTGTGTGTGCTGTATCGGTAGTGTATACCTGTAATGAGGCTATTTGTGCCAGTGTTGTGTCCAAGTGCATGCTAACACAGTCTTGCAAATGTGACCTAAAGGATTGCTCATGTTGCAAGGATTGCTTTAACTGTCTCAGTTACTTGTACAGTGAGTGTTGCAGTTGTGTTGGTGAGTATTAAACAATATTTATTAGATTAAATAATTAAATTTCATTCATAATTATTATATAGAAATACATATTTTTTACTGACAAACAATTGAACCAGAAATTTATAAGTATATTTTATTATAAAAATATGAAATTTTATAACAATTTTCTCAACAGATATGTGTCCTAAACCCAATGACACTCAAACTGAGCTCTCCAAGTCATCATATGTTGAGGAGTTACAAGATAATGTCCCTGGATTATTTGCTGCTTTAACCAGCGACCCTGACCCTCAGAAGAGGTGGTTGTCCATCACTTACCCGGTAGACATTGATCTATCAGCATACCGAGCTACTCCGGAAAGACAACCTGTTTATCACCTGCGTGAGTAAAATCTTTCATATATAGCAATAATATTTAACATAATTATTAATTATTATTTTTGCTTTAAATCCTTTACTTGGATGTTAATAAAAACAGGTAATTTTGATAATTAAAATAGTTTGTATATTTAGACATATTAATTTTTACACAAAATTTTATAATATGTCCAAAACTGTTACTGGTGTATTTTATATTACATATAATTTAAAAAAACATACATATTAATATGTTTTTGACAGTACATTTAAACAGCGGCATTTATTAATTTTCCTCAAATAATCTGTCTTTGAATATGCAAACCTTAGTTTGTTTAGTTAAATCAGTAAAAATTATGTTGTATTTGTCTTAAATACAATACAACATACCTGTAGATCTTATATCGCTGGCGATTCAATTAAATTAGAAAATAAAGGTTAAAAAATTATAGCCACATCAAGCATTTTGAAAGTGAGACTTCTGACACGTTCTATTCCTGTGAATCAAAAGATTTTCTGTTCTATATCTTTAGCATTTTTCATTTTTATAAAATGTTAGCTTAGTATTTATGTTTAAGATGATATAATAATAATTCATTAAGCTCTATTTCAAAGTTGATAATCCCATTGTTGTTTATTTTAAGTGCACGAATTTTTTTGTTACTTTAGTCAATATTTAAATAACATTTCGGAAACAAAATCTCGTTATGAAAAAAAAATTACATAATTATATATACTTATATGTAAATTTTCAGATTGTGTGTACCTATTTTAAAAATAATTATTTACACTAAAAGATCTTAAGATGTTTACGATTATTTGGTTAGTTAGATTATGACCTCGATCATAAAAATATCCAAATTTCCGGGAAAAAATAATTCCAATCAATAAATCGTTTATCATAGATTCAATATATATTTTAATGAATGAAAAACAACACCTGCCTTATAAAATCAGAACCCCGTCGTGTTAAAGGGCCGTGAGTCACAATGGAATGTTTTACCTGTTCTCAGTTCATCTTATTTGTATTGCGATGTCATTTGATCTTTTATCTTAAACTTTGTTAGCGGAATCTATTCATACAAATGAATTCTATAGTAACACCGAGACTTTATGAATCATTAAGACCGCCGGGTAATTTATCTTTATAGTCGAACAAATGGATTAACGGTTAAATATGTATATAAATTTTCTATTGCTTTTATATTTATGTTAGGCGTTCTTGTATTGCCTGAATTACGATGCTATTATTAATTTAATTCCGTATCAAGTACACAATATATTAATTCTCATACATCATACGCACTATATTTCCCTATCAAATATTCAGAGTAGCGCAATATGCGAAGTGGAACAAATTATTTTGGTATATATTAAAAATCACTCACAAACGTTGTAAATTACATTCATAATATGTTATAACGTGAATGATATTGTTGATAATATTTATTTATACTACTTTATATGAATTCACAGAGAGCGTCGAACAGGAGTCGGAACCTATAAGTCGTGATGTCGTAACATTTAACTGTACAGTGGCGTACATGTCCCAATGTATGTCCTGCGATAAATGCCGCGCTTCATGCAGGTCCATGGGCTCGAACAGTTTTAGGTGAGTTCTTGATAATTCCTAAAATAACCTTTCTATAGTATTAATCATAAACAGCACCAAAATAAACCTGTTATGGCTTGCGCGTTGTTATTGTTGAAGGATTCTGTATAATGTTGTTTAATCTCAAGAGTATTCGAACATTTCACTTCTTATTTCCATATCCCTACTAATATTATAAATGTGAACGTAACTCTGTCTGTCTGTCTGTTACGCTTTCACGTCTAAACCACTGAACGGATTCTATTGAAATTTGGTACAGACATAGAGTTGACCTTGTCCAAGAACATAGGCTAGTTTTTATCCCAGACTTTTGAAAACTTGCGAAGCTGCTGGCGGAAAGCTAGTATTAATATATAAACTGGAGAATTAAAACTAATAAAGTTTACTAATATTTATCTTATATTAATTTTTATTTTGTCCTCAAGTATCGATAGTAATTCACCAGTCACCCTGTATAATTAATGATAACAACAATTTGTTGTATTTATACTGTTGTTGTTGTTAAGTAATTCAATTATTAACTTTAACTGAACAACACGCAGGTGGTTCCACGACGGTTGCTGTGAATGCGTCGGCGATAAATGTCTGTACTACGGCATTAACGAGAGCAGGTGAGAATAATATATGGATTAAAATAGATTCAGTTATTGGTTCAAATAAACAAACATGTTTGGATTGCAGCGAAATATCGCTTCATACTGATTCGCAACTAAAATAAGTATTGTGTCTAAAGATATTGATAATTATTTGATAGAATGCAAGTAGGAATCGAGTTCTAGTTATTTTGGTTTTGTTTAAAAATTAGATGTTTCATTTGACTATGACATTTAAAACCCTTCAGTATTACATATTTAAATGAAACCAATATTTTCGGATTTTACTTCGCGTTCTTATTTTTGACTATAAACTACATACTCCCGACGTTTCGGCTACTTTTCAGCAACCGTGATCACGGGCAGATGAGATGTGAGTGTCTGAAGTGAGTCAAAAATAAAAACGCGAAGTAAAATCCGAAAATATTACTTATTAGTTTCATTTAAATGAGTACTCGCGAAAATCTTATATCTCACCATCAGTGTTATTATAAAATGTCGTTCAAAATGTTATAATAAGTCAATAATGTATACTTAATAAAGGTATTTCTATAAGTATACTGTGTAGTTTAAGTATTTTGGTGATTAACCTTCTACTGGATAATAAATATATATGTTAAATTTAACCGATAGTTGTAAAAAGGACCATTTAAGATTTATAAGTATTATAAATTTAATATTTAAGCGACCGAAGATATTTTTAATAGATTCCTAATAGAAAAGATGTTATCGAAATCACAGCACACCTGCTTAAGCAAGGACTCATTATAAAAACACAAGTATCAAGTGTCGTGCAGGTGTTACTAATAAATTATAAACATCTCGTTATGTTAATTATGACAATGACATTATGTCTCAACAGAGTTATCAAACAAATGACATTTGTAATTGACATTCGATATTGACTCCAAAGATTATAGAGTGAATGAATGAATGAACGGTTCAGTGTTGCTATGAATGAATAATTAATTGGATATTTTTTTTATAAGCATACCAATATTTTTAATTAAATGAATGTGGAAGTGTCATTTAAATAATATAATTCGTAATCAAGCAAATTGGAATCAATTCTGGTATTTTAACTCAAATATCTATATAATTTTTGTTGTTATTAATATTAATTATTAAATTTCAGATGTCTCGCGTGTCCGGGCGGGAAAGAAACCCCAGATATGACTAAAGATGACGATCTTCTTTACGATGATTTGGACTACGGCGAAGAAGTTGACGCGCAGTCTGTCTAAACATTGTTTACGTTTCCACTCTTGATATAATCTACTATACCAGTTACATTGAAATTAATGCTCTAAGTAAAATCTATAAGGAATACAAATACTGAATAAGGAAGATGATTAATGTATTATTAAAAATATTTCGCTCTTTATAAATCATTATAGTATTTTAAAGTATTACATTCATAATATTTTGGATGTAAAGTTCGTGGAACAAACGTATTTTATATAAAAAAATAATGAAATTAAATAAAACAGTGGATGTTAATGATTTATATGTAAGTATTAATAAGTATATTTTATGTAATCTTGTGCCTTTTATAATATAGTGATGTTATAAGACTGCCAGTTACAAAAACTTTTGGACTTCAAAATATCAGTGTTGCCATAATTATAAACAAAAAATATCAAAAAACACAAAATACTTTTAATTTTTTATTTTATTAAACTTTTTGAATCTCGATTAACATATTACTTTAGTTTTGATATGTTATGGTTATTATATAAATATTTTTTTTAGTTAAGTTCAATGTATGTAGATAAATAATACGCTTTAATATCTATTTATTATTTATCCGTCCTTATATTAAAAAAAGCCAGTTCAGAAATTGTCATTAGGTAATTATTTGACGCAATTCGAAAGTATTTAATTTAGAATGGAAATTTTGAAAGAAAACTTTGGTTAATCCATTAATTAGAGTTAACAAAATTGCGTATTATCTGGTGTAAAAATAATATTAAGTATAACATACTCTATTTGCTTTATTTACTGTTTTAATGTAAGACATAGTATTTAAATTTGTTTCTTGAAAATTAAATAATGTAATACTCCAATTAAATCGTCATGTCTTACATTAGAATTAATAAATCAGCAATAGTTCAGAATCTCGCGAGTGCCAAACTTTTGTTGCTTGTACAAATCTTTGCCATTTTGATATTAAGACGCCATCTTGTTTTTTTTAGCGCCATATTCTTACGTTTAAATTTAATTGACTTAGTGAATATATTTTTTTGTAACATTTTATATTTTTATAGAAACTTTTTTGTATTTAATTATAATGAATAAACAATGAACATTTTCGTGGATTTTTGTTTTCCTCTATTACTTGTTATCAGTATATTATGACGTAACAAATAAAAATGAATAGTCTTCCTGAAATAAAGTTTATATATTTTTCATATTAATGTATATATGTATTATTATTTTTTTATTATCCTCGTTAATTTAGTTTTTCATATATTTGTTATAACTTTATTATAATTAAAAGTTCTCAAGCGTGTCGTTGACCCTGAGTATTTAAACGCGAAGGAAATCAATTACGTTGTTTGCTTAGTAAAATATACAACAATAAAACCTTTATAGTTGTGGAATAAATAATAAAAATTTGTGGAATGAAATGAACAACGTTAATCGTTTAGTTTTTAAAATATCTGTCAGTTATAAACTAGAATTGTTGATATTTTGATGTTTGTTATTAAAATTATTTAAGGAATCGATGAAATTTATAATCTTTTCATGAAACCTGCAGACAATGTGAATCAAATGCAAGAGCCTCTTTTGAGATTTTTAGAGCCATTTATTTTTGGGCAGAGTTGGAAGGTTCAACTAGGTTTTCACCAAGTTTGTTCCAGCTACGATACTATTTTGAGCGAATAGTTTTTGTGGGAATTGTGATATTGATATTATATACATATTTTGCTTGGTAGCCTTCAAATTTTGGACCACTCGTCGTACAAGTTTAGGAGAAGCAAGATGTAAAGGCGGTCGTATACAGGATATATGTATATGGCATCATTCTATCAGAGGCCACTGCTGAGCAAAGGCCTCTTTCTCACATGGAGAAGGTTTGAGCATTAATCACCACGCTTGCTCAAGACGGGTTGGTGATTTCAAAATTATAATTGTGAAATTATAAGTCCAGGTTTCCTCACGATATTTTCTTTCACCGTTTCTTAGTGATGTCTAAATACTCTTAGAAAGTACATATGACTCGGAAAAATAACATTGGTACTTGCCAAGATCGAACCCGCGCCCTCGTGCACGAGAGGCGGACCCTTTAACCACTAGGCCACCACTGACTTACACTTATATATATACTAACTATTAGTAGACCTCAAAATTAAAAAAATCTTTACCTCATAAAAATATATTGTGATGTAGTTCCCAAGTAAATTTAATCTATTTAGGTATAACATATATTTTATCATGTTATTTCAATTAATAAGAATAATTAGGCTCAAGTCTAAGTGAGAGTCCTGAGTCTTTAGTGATTAATGGTCTAAATAGGAAGAAAAAATATAGCTAATATAATGCCAAGAAGATGCACACCAGAACCAAACACCTCGAATGCTTAATCAGAACTTACATGGCCGCTTGTTGAGGAGTTTTGTTCATAGCTTGTATCTGGCTCTACGTATCTAAGCTTCTTTTGGGCTATCAAGAAAGACTGGGTCATTTTCAAAATGATTCAAATAGTCACCGAGTATTGGCGGACTTTCTACTGCTGGCGACTTCCACGAGGTTATTGACCTGTTTGATAGTAGCGAACTACTTTATGTGATACTGTGGTTCCATCGGCCAGTACCATGAAATGGTTACTAGTTATTTTGACTATCTAGTTTTGACTTGTGTTAATCGAATTTCTGATTCTATTACTTCGACTCTGAACGTAGATCGTTTCATCGTACATGAATACACTACAATTTCGTAATAACAACCAATTCTCGCATCAGTAGCTTAGAACTGACAATCTCCACCATTTAAAGCATTCCAGGTACTTAGTAAGTGTATAAGATGACGGTCCAACGAACACCGTTTAGGTGATTTGTATTCGATGATCTAACTTCTCACAGTTGTGCCTATCTAATTGGCACATTGCTCATGTTTAGTTTATAAACTCTATCAGTTAAATGCTACAGGTCCGTTAGTTATGATCTTCCCGTTCATCTTAGGAATATTTATCGTTTATCTTTCGAAAACTCTATAGAAGCTTCTATACAACCTGTAAATCGGAGATTAATGAGGTACCTACTCACGAAGTAAGAGGCCAAGATATGACTACTTTGGTTACTTGAAGGTATCCTGCAAGGAAACTTTGAACATTTTCAGTCACTGACGCGACCCCGCTGAACATCTTGCTATACTCGTGAATTATCATCCTGCTATTCAAATTTGTATATCTTTAGACTCTATTGATATGGTCCTTGAATACTCACATGGTTGGTTTACTTTTATATATATAAAAAGAGACAAACGAATAGACAGCTTATTTTATTGAAGGTAGTTACAGTCGCCCATGGATATTTGCAACATAAGAGACGTTACAGATGCGATGCTGACTTTAATTATGAAATAATTAGAGGAAAGGTCAAAGGCTTGCTCTTTTACGACTCATCTGACGAAACGCAGCCATTAAAGGCTACTTCACGCCGATCTTTTGTGAGGGGATGGAACTTGCCTGGTCGTGCCAACCTATGTTCGAGTTGTAGTTACTGATTACAGCCAGCTCTATAACGGAATATCCGGACTAAGCGAGCAATGATTCTGAAAGCAGCTTAGAGACGTGGCATGAGAGAGATAAGTCGAGGCTTCCTCGTAAGAGTTTCATCACCTATCTTGACCCTTTCATATCACAACTGTTTATCACCCTGATAAAAACTACTGAACCATATTCCTGTTCATATGAAAAGTATTACTCCATAAACAATGGAGTTGACCTATTTGGACGACAAAAAAATTGTGTCGTAACTTAGAATTATATAATTACCTGTTATGTCTTGTATCATTATATAAAATTATAAGTGAATAGTCAATTTTTTCATCAGAATTTAATCGATAACATTAAAATAATCTTTAAACTATAATCAACAATTCATTGTTTTTGTACTAGAACTAACAAAAAACAATATTGTTTTTTATCAAACTGAGAACGGACTGTCGTGTAGATATTAAGATAAAACTAATCAAATCAAGACAAATGAGGTAAAGATAAATAAAATTACCTCATAGCGTTACCAAAATACTATCTTTGATTATTTGTTGTCGGTTTTAACAAATAGAGGATTAACAAAAACCGGACGCAGAGAGGTAGGTACATAATATTTTATAAGATTGAAAAACCTAAATTTTGTAGATTAACATAAATTACTAGCTACTCAGGTAAATAATAAGATGACGTTCTGCTATAAACTGATAAATAAGATTATTGTGTGTTCAACAAGAACAACATTTTATAATTTTCAAGCTCGGTGAAAACCTATTTAACTTGGGAATAGTTCATTGCCTAATCGTTAAGTTGGCTGCCGAGGCAATTTGGTTGCCATGACAACCGCAAACTACTACTAATTATTAATTTTCTGAAAATGCATTACATATTTATTATTATTAAATATATTTAATAAAATGATAGTATCAACAAAGAAAAAAGTTATAGAAATATTCACACGTGCCAATCATTTTATTAAATATATTTACCACCATTTTGTTTATATAAAAATACTTTTTAATTGATTTGTCATAAAAAACAGCTTAGATTTGTCGTTATTTTAATGTAGCTTAGTATCTAGCAACTACAATCTAAAATAATCAAATCATTAACCTTAATAAAAATCCTAAAACAGAGCGGGCGTGCTGATAAGACAACATTGATAAAAGTATTAAGATGGGCGATACTTGGATCGTACAATAAAACATATTAGATTTCTTTATGTATATAAAAGTTCGCATATGGGTCGCATTAGGTGCGTAATTTATCTATTGATTACGAGGATTATCAAATATTTGAGATAATATACGCGTGTTTTTATATACTGTGAAAATTTTACGTAATTCAATAATTGGTTGAATATTTATATATTTCTACAATGACAATATATTTTATCTATATTTGAGTAAGAATTGTAGCTCATTTTGGTATCTTAAGTTGGGTGAAATTTAAAAAGGACATGATCTGAAGAAAAGATTTCGCAAGCTGGTCATTTCCGATCTAGGAGCAAGAGATATTAGTTAGCTGACAGTTTTCATATATTGATGAAGATTCTATACCTAATTAGGCAACTGATTTGGTAGAAAGTGTGGTCTATTTCCTCTCCTTAATATTAAAAAATGTCTTAGAACCATTATACTATATTGTAGAACTCAAAATAATTTAATTGACTTTAAACTGAATCAAAAAACATTAGTTTGTCTTTTATAACTTTTGGAAAACTTGCTATAAAACATACTCGACCTATAATGAAAAGTTATCATGCGTTATAGAAAATAATCCTATTTGAGTTTCAAAGATTTAG